TTTTGCCGGTACGCCCGGAACCATAAAAATCCGGGAGCCAACCTGCTCTTCCGTTGCTATGTGAGAACTCAACCGGCACGGCCGGGGGACCAGCCTGGGGTACCGGGAGGGGTGAAATCGTCCCAAAATTTTTTTTTGTGCGAAAGCATTGTCACTTATTCACATTTTCAGCCTATGTGCTGTTTCAACTTTGTACTTTTTTATATTTTTTTGCAAATGCATTGTCAATTGTTCATACAGTGGGGGAAATAAATATTCGTACACCTGAAAAATCGTATTTTAATATATGTAAGTACACAAACTTAACAGGAAAAGTGATTTAAATTATATATAGAGACGCATAGTATTCAAAAATACTATCAAAAGAAATTAAATCTCAATGCAACAAAAAACAATGCAACATGTTCACTTTTCGGGTGAAAAAAGTATTCGTACAAAACAATAAATCCGCATTATTTTAATTTAATACTTGGTTGAATACCCTTTATTCAGCTCAACAGATACCAGTCTANATAAGTGACAATGCTTTCGCACAAAAAAAAATTGGGACGATTTCACCCCTCCCGGTACCCCAGGCTGGTCCTCCGGCCGTGCCGGTTGAGTTCTCACATAGCAACGGAAGAGCAGGTTGGCTCCCGGATTTTTATGGTTCCGGGCGTACCGGCAAAATTATTCAACATGTTGAATAATTTTTCCGACCAAGCCGGATTATGGCCACGCCTTCCAGGAACTCCCGGATCTCCAGTTTGATAACCGGTACCCCAGGAATCGATTCCGGGTGTCTTCCGGCCCTTTAACAGGCTATGTGAGAACGAGGCATTAAGCCCTGCCCCTTGCATATTACGCCCTGCCCCATATACCGGCTATAAATCCGGCATTTCAACCGGCTTGACGTTTCCGGGACTTCCGGCCCTTTAACCGGTTATGTGAGAACGGGGCATATGAGCGCGAAATCCCATAGGACTTCTGACGAGCACAGACACTCGTCAGAAGTCCCCCCTGAGGGGCAGTACGAAATTACGTTCCGTTCCCATTGTAAGAACTGGAAAGTAGGCTTCTACATTAGACGAATGCATGCACACAGCCACCGTTAGTTTGGATCTTTCTTGACTATAGTACAAGAAGTAGAGGTCTCTAGGTGGAGACTCGTACTATGGGAACGTGCTTACCCAACAGGCTATCGGGCCCAACGTACGGCTTAATGCAACAGAAAATTATGTAAAAAAAACGTATAAGTAAAAATACATAATTGGTGGAGAGGTAGTACGAAAGAAATTTACGAACAATTCAAAGTTTATTTCAAATACTTGCCTAATAGATCAGCACTGCGCCTTCAAGCTAATTTTTTTGCCAGCCGTTGAGGTAAAGACTAAAATATTTCTTCTCTATCAGGCAAGATTATAATTTTAAAATAAATTTCTATATAATTCTTCCAAGGCTCAAGGTATTTCGTACTGTCTCGTACCCTTTCTAGAATACTCGGCTCGCACATTATGTTGAGAATTGCCAGCGTTCTTCTATTCGCAACATGAATGTTGACATCCAGTGAATATTTAATATTGTTGACATCCGAGGTACGGCATTCAATGCATGAATTGAGCGAGGTATCACCGTGGCAAGGAATGTGGATTCTTCTGCGGAAGTTGATTAAGGGAATCTGCCATTCTACATAAGTAGATTGCTGGCGATACCAATTAGAATTGGTGCTCGCGAATAACTAACCATTAAACTTAGGAACAAATGTGTGTAAACAATGCAACACTGATTATTTTTCAGGTCGTTTATTAACAAAGTATGAAGAGGCAAGCGAACAAATGAGGAGACGTTTTAGATGCAAGATAAATAGTGCAAAACATGGTATAAAAATGCAGGCTTGGGGAATAGATGCGCACTGATCAAATTATTTGAGTTTTGCTATCATTCGACAAATTATTAGGCAAACATTGAACTGGTTTCTAATAACGAAATCAAAAGTTAAAGTCACATTTAGATGACAAGCAGGCAGGAAAAGCAGTAGGAAAAATTCACAAGGTTCCGGGTTCTAGTTCGGGAAATTGCGCCCCAACCTGCAAATTCTGCTTTCCTTTGCATGCTTCTCTTAGTACTTAGCGAACACGTGGGAAATATCAGTTCTATGGACACTAGCGCTTAACTGTTTGTGCGACATAACAAGTGGAGTAAGGTTGACGTAAGTATAGGTTAATTATCAATAATAATTTTAATTAATTACTTATAACGTTATAAATTTCTTTAAACATTAGTGGGTTATACATGGTATGCATGCCCAGAAATGGCATGCCAATAATCGAAGTTGATTTCCATTACAAAGCAAAGACGATTCAACATCGATGGTGGTAAGCAGTGCAGCGAACTGAAAAATTAGAAATAACGCCTGTTTCATGTTTCATTTAACGAGCAATCAATTATCCGTAACAATCTCAACGGGAGTTCGTGCATAAAATTATTGAAAATAGGAAAAATCACCATTACAAATCACGTAATGGTGATTCGACCCCTCCAAGGCGTCTAGCACCTAGCGACCCCTCTTCTCGGTGGTTGGTCAGTAGAAGGTGTTTGTTTATACGGTAAGAAGATAATCATTGAACATCGATGTTTTACAGAATAATGATAAATAAATCTCGTGGCATTTTACATTAATAAATCATCGTAAAAAAATTAAGCTCGAACATATTTCTTGAAGGCATATAAAAGCTCGATTTAAGTTTAAAGACAGTCGTGTGCGGGAAGCTCAATTTGAAAATCACTTCAGATATAAACATCAGTTTGAAAAGCGCTCGCATATTCACAAAAGAACATTTCATGAGTTCGGCGGGTTAACCCTGTAATTAACAGCAGTAAGGTTGGCGCATTGTGTTGCTGTTTAGAAAATCAATGAGCAATACAAAATAAAGCGTTCTCTAAAATCGGTGACCGGCAAGACATGGCAGAATTTTCTACGCTAACCCCGCTGTACATGAGCATCTTAGCCGAGCTGCGTTATTTTCTGTTCTTTTTGATGTAGTTATATATTTAGTCCAGACAAAATACACTATATACGGTTAGAAAAAAAAAACGTTGAGCTTCACTCGATAGCAACAATTATTGCAGGATATTTAAGCGCTGGTTCCATTGGAATTATGGCGAATCATTTTTTGGAAAAGATATGGGAAGATAACAGACAAAAACAAATAACTGAAAATACACGAGTCACTCTAAAAAAACTTGGCAGTTTATACTGATCAAAAAATCGCTCTAAGCAAACATTGAGACAATGACAGTTTCCAAGAGTTAATGTTCTAAAATTTAAAATCTAATTAAACTTTATCCAATAAGATTACAAAACCTAAATTTGGTTTTAATATTTTCTCCTGAGCATCACTAATAACTTATAAGTTGGGAACAGAATTTAATAATTCATAAATATTTTTAGGTTCTACAGGTTCGACCAGTTCTATTAATTTAATACTAGTTTTATTAATTTGTGCCGCTTCAACTGTGAGCAAATACATTCGGCAATGGTTTCCCAAGAAGCTTAGATTAAGTGTAACACTTATTATATTTTCCCATTTAATATTTATAATTCTTCTTAAAGTCTATTCATATAAAACAACACAAACGATGATAAAAGGAAAACATGCAACATTAATCTTCGCATTTCCAATACAAGGCCCTACACACGTAACTAAATCATAGAGGCGTTATCCCCAACTCAAGCTATCGCAGTCACTGAGTACGATATTCTATTACAAAATTAATGCAAATTGCACTGCAATGCTTACATAATCGCGGTGCATACATTATATGCACCGCGAACAGAAAACGGGCCAAGCGCGTGTATAACTAAAAAAAAAGAATTTAACAAACATCAAAAACAACTAATTCTACAATCACCCGTGAGTATAAAAACTGTCCTCTCTTCTTACAATTTTCTAAGGGCACCGGTAATTCAGACATGTGCTCAAGAAGATTTTTACCAATTCCATTTCCTTCCATTCAAGAAAAAAGTTTCAAATTCAACGTATTGGGATTCCCTTTACATGCATGAACTCAGTGAATCACTGCAAAAAATTATAATAATAATAATGTAATAGCATATAAATAATTAAAATAGTTATAATTATTACCAATTATAATTTTCAGCTATAAACCTCGAGTCAACAGAAGCACCAAAACACTTAAGGACCAGAAATAACGAGTCTGGGAAGACTCTGGCTCACCCATAATGCCTTTCTCAACACGTGCTAACCTTCTTGAAATGCCTAGCACCTTACGGACCAGGCAATAAGTCCAGCAGCTACCTCAAACAATTAGTTTGTTATGGAAATATTGGGTTCAGAAGGTCGGATCCCTTGTGGAATCAAGTCGCGAAAAGTACAAGAATCGGAAACAGGCCGTGGGCCTATTTCTTCAATGCCGACAAATCTATTCTCTTCTACCCTAAATTAGAGGAATACGGTACACTCGGATTCCTGCCGACACCGATGTCACTATTCCCACTTTTGCACAGTTCTATAAGAGGTGCCCAAACTTGGAAGTATCCAGTCTACATGAGGAGGGTAGACCCATGGTTGAACTATATGAGGTTGACCCACGAGGATTTCCGTCTTTCAGTTCAGCTTTCTTGTTACGTCTCTGAGATCGAGAAACGTTAACAATCCCGTCATTCCCACAACGGATTGGTTGACTGGTTTGATCGCATTTCGGTCAATGGTTAATGTCTGTGACGTCGCAACAAACTACATCCGCAAAAATGAGCTTCTCATGGGTCAACCTTATACTAGTTCAACCATGGGTGTAGTCAGGGCGACGCAGGCTTCTGGACCTCAAAAATCTCCCATGCACAGCAATTAATGGACTTTCAGTGTTCTACTGAATAAATTCTCACTTCGGGACTTGGTTCCGCTACTCTCAGTACTATGACAATCGATCAGTAAGAGCAATATCGAAAACTAATTTCACTTAACGATTCTATTTTCACACAAAAAAAAAACAGAAAAGGGTTACTATAAAAATAGATTTATTCACATACAATTGCATCTAAAAAAGCTTATTTGTTAGTTTACGGGAAGAACAAGTGCAATACTCGACTTATCATTACGAAGAAGTAGCCTGCTTTGCAAGCTTGAATTATTTTCATTTAAAGTGGCCTCATGCCATCCCGCCAAAAAGAAATATTTTTAAAATTGGAAATGGTGGCGGCATTAGATCCAAATAACTAAACATTTACAACTGATCTCCTTGACCAAGTCTGCTTCTCTGTGTGAGTCAATCAATTTGAACCTTTGATTATACGACGATGTTGAGAGTCGTTCGCCAGCAGTGAATCAATCATTCATTATGATGAACTGTACCTATTATTTCAAAAAGATTGTACTTCAATTCCTCGCCTACATCCATATTATACACAAAGCTCAACTTTCACCAACTTTACAATATGGTCCGTCAGTAACATAACCTTTTTCACCGAGTCAATACTTTTCGACTGAATTTCTAAAACTCATATCGGCCAGACCAACCATATCTACCTGCGACAAGCTCCGACAAGTTAGGATACCTAGACCACCTCAAGCACTTGCTCTCAAACATTTAATGTCGGTCATCAAAATACCTTACGAGTTATTCCCAACTTCAAAAATCAGTATTACGCTAACGGTGGCATAATATTCACTTCATGTCAGCTGCCCGATGCAATTCACCTTACGACGGTTCTCCAGGTTTATGCTCTGATAATTGGCGACTTTTCCATGAACTCCAACGTGTGTGATTCTCATCCAGCGTCTCCTGGTCGGACGTGACTCGCCACTCCAGCCTACGACAGGTCTGGCAAACGCATAATTCCCAATAGCTGGTGCCAATACATGCTGAGAATCTGAGCACGACGTTCTCAATAATAATAGACACCGTGTCAATGGTTCTGTCACTTCAATAGAAACAATAGAAACAGATGTTAACATTTTCAACGGAAATCACATTTGTAAAAACTTTATTCGAGTAAAAAATGTTAGGAATCTTCGAGGATTCTGTGAAATATTTCAGAAACCTTGCTTAGGGAGTCTTCGGAGCCGAGCGGCAGGATGTTCTTAATAGGGAATATCCTCAAACCTCATCAACGGAATATCCTCAAACCTCATCAACGGAATATCCTTAAACTTCTTTTATAAAATATTCTCAAACCTCATCAACGTGATATCCTCCAACCTCAGTTACGGAATATCCTCGAATCTCATCAACGGGATATGCTCGAATCTCATTTACGGGATATCCTCAATCCTATGATACGGGATATCCTCAAACCTAATCAACAGGACATTCCTAACCCCTCTCTTCGTGTCACTCTCCCACAGGACCAGAGGACGTGTCCTGCGTAAGGACGTGCCCTTAGTCCTCCTCCCATTCTTCCTCGTCCTCGTCCTCCGTATCGTCGTCATCGTCGCTGGCGCCCTGGATGACCTTCGCGCGGTTGTGCAGCGCCTCAGCCAACGCCCCTGCCAGGCCACCAAGGGGAGGAACCACCACGCCTCCGTCATCCTCGTTTTCCACCTAAACAAAAATTAAATCAAAATTTCCGTTCAGGGACCGTACTATCAAAACTCGCTCAAGTGCGTATAGCGGTAAAAAGTACCAAAGTACTTTTTACCTGTGATTACTGGGTTAGTTTTTTGATAATAAGGCCCAAGATTTTTGCAATTATTTATATGAATACATTAGAGTCTACATATCATTACTAATTCTTCAATAAGTCCGAAATTGTGGCCATTATTTTTCTTCATTCTGTTGAATAAGCAAATACTTACCGGCATGATTGATAAATTGAAATCAATCATCTGTAAATTATTTGTGTGTATTCAAAAGATAAAATAATCCGCTCTAAAAAAGTTCCGCGACCATTTTCAGGTCGCATCGACACTATCTTACAACTCATCCTATAATTCACCCTTTATTTTTAAAGCATAGTTGAAGACCCACTCACGAAACACTATTAAATATTAATCCATATATTCTAATGAATGGATGCAAGTAACATAGGAAAACAACTCTCAACATAATCGAAGACATACAATCAAATTTATTTGTATTTCATCCATTCATGGAGAAATTACTACCTTAGACCTAACCAAGAATTTACTATAGACCAAACACATAAGACCTAAACAAGAATTTACTATAGACCAAACACATTAGACCTAACCAAGAATTTACTATAGACCAAACACATAAGACCTAACCAAGAATTTACTATAGACCAAACACATAAGACCTAACCAAGAATTTACTATAGACCAAACACATAAGACCTAACCAAGAATTTACTATAGACCAAACACATAAGACCTAACCAAGAATTTACTATAGACCAAACACATAAGACCTAACCAAGAATTTACTATAGACCAAACACATAAGACCTAACCAAGAATTTACTATAGACCAAACACATAAGACCTAACCAAGAATTTACTATAGACCAAACACATAAGACCTAACCAAGAATTTACTATAGACCAAACACATAAGACCTAACCAAGAATTTACTATAGACCAAACACATAAGACCTAACCAAGAATTTACTATAGACCAAACACATAAGACCTAACCAAGAATTTACTATAGACCAAACACATAAGACCTAACCAAGAATTTACTATAGACCAAACACATAAGACNACGCGCTTGAGGTTGACGCCGCCCCTGATCTGGTCGAGGAGCTGCGAGCGCGAGTCTGCTACAGGCGCACGCTCCGCCACCTCCACTTTCTGCAACACGGTAATGCGTCACAACTAGACGTGACATCACTTATAATATCTTATATTATAATGCATACTCTTAAAACACCCTTTAATATATTAAACTATGTAACTTCATGTATAGCTTCTCTCCTTCAATACTACTCTAATTAATGTGTTCACTTCAAAACATTGAACTATTTTTACAGTTCCTGCTCATTCTAGTGCGTCATGAATAAGCCAAAACGTAAAATTTAACGTTTTAATGTCGTAATGACATTGAAATGTCTCAATATTTTAGCAAAGTCACCCAACGTCAAGCTATCTTAATATGTCATCAGAATGCCCCAATACAAAGCTTCCCATTAATAAACTATCAAGCCATTATAATATTTTATTATAACGCCCCAAAGTTAAATAATCAGTCATTAATCAATACCCCAGAACGAAGAACAACTTAAAATTCTCAATTATACCCGACATTTATAATATCGATAAGTGGCATTAATACGAAAATGGAGTTGTAATGTTAGGTGATTTGTATCAAGTTAAATGATAGTTGAATGAAATTTGAAACGTTGCAGTGAATCAAGGATGAAGTGCAAGGAGTTTCGTAGCAATGATACGATAGGCCTAGCTTGAATAGGCTTAATTACTAGGACCAGTTGATCGAATCCCATCGTATTTACGGCTGTTTTTATAACTTATTACTACTTATACGGGAGTTCATCGTCTATACACAACAGCGAAAGATGCATCATATAAACTAATTTACAAATGATTAAAAGATAATAACGTGTAAATAAATAAAAAATAAAGAATTAAATTAGTAGGTACTGATAATTAATCATTACTAACCATAATACGGTGATTATAATCAGTATCTTCAAGAATCACGGGTTCTCCTAAATAAATCAATTTAAAACACAAAAATATACATGGAGCACGGAGTCGTATATCATAACCACTCATATACTATCATTTAATAAGGAACAAGGAACGTCTCTAGAGACCCATTTTTAAACGGTCAATATGACCGTTTAAAGCTCTATTTATTTGCATTACAAATGAAGCAGATATGAAGTAAAAGCGATAGTGAGAAACATCAATCAATAAACGGTATGGGATAGTGATGTGAAAGTAAAATCAAGCCTAAATTTTTAAAGCAAAAAACAAAAAACTTATTACTCAAATGCAAATAAAAGCAAAACACCACAAGACAAAAAATTATTTAAGACATGTAAGCAAAAGAAAAGCACCACAAGGCAAAAAAGTATTTCAAAAAATGTGCAAAAGCAAAGCACCACAGGACGAAAAAGTATTTCAAATGGGTAAACAGAAGCAAAACACCACAAAACAAAATATTATTCCTAAAATGAAAATAAAGGCAAACCACAGGACGAAAAATTATTTCTAAAATGTAAACAAAAGGAAAGCACAAGACAAAGTATTTCAAAAATGTTAACAAAAGTAAAACACCACACGGCAAAAAATTATTTCTAAAACGTGAACAGAAGCAAAGCAATACAAGGAAGCGGATTTTTCAGCTTAATAATTCTTAAGGAAGCGAGCTCGGCAGATCTACCTGACCAGCCGACGTAGGCGTCTGAAGAGGCAACGCCGAGGTAGACGAGTGTAGGGCACAAAGTTCACGATAACATTACTATTACAAGCAAAATATAAAAAATATAACTCAGTACTACTATTACATGCATTATATAAAAAATATAACTCAGTTAAATATAAAAAATGCGCTAAAAAAGATAACACCAGCAACATAATGTTAAAAAATAGCAGCTACCATCTGCCTTACTGGCGGCGAGCAAACAAACACTGAAGGTGCAGAATAACGCCATTAAAATAATATTTAAAACCATACGTTAACGTCTTTCGATTGGAGCGCATGCAAAGAAACTAGCTCATGCATGTGGAGTTTGAAACGCCCATAATGCCGACTATTGTATGCCGAATTCCCATTAAAACCGAAAAAGCCGAAGTGATGACTAAATTAGTAGGGATGAATGATTTAATTCAATTTTGCATCCGTTACAACTCCCGTAACTGATGTAGGTATATAGAAAACTTTTCTCAAATGTATGTGAGAAATAACTCCGTTCACCTGACTGGCCCATGTCAAGAATTACGTAGCATTTAGAGTTCCAATAGTGAATGTAAAGAGGTTAGATGAAATACATGGTTGCTGTATTAAAATGATTAATTTTCGGTAAATTGCAGAAACGTATGACGTGAAAGTAAGCCGAAAATAAATTATCAGTAAGTCGTAAAAACGTACACAGTAAAATTATTACTATTCGATAAGTTAGAGAGGCATACAGGGTGAAGCTAAACACTGAACGCAAACAATACGTTTATATATTCAACACAAACTACACGCACGTGTTGGGTATAATTGAAGCAACTAAAAGTAACCTCGGCAAAATTCATTTAGACATAATTGGGAAATGCGAGCACAATTTTTCAAACTAACAACAGGAATTAATATAAACTTAAAGAAAAGAGTAACCGGGAAGATGTTGATATTACCTCCATTTATTGTTAAAGAATAGTAGGAAAATGTAGTGCCAGTAAATGCACTTGCAATTTCATTATAAATATTTCAGAAGCAGCAAAATTCTGACGTACGAAATGTGAACTGAATTGATGCATGTGGAATTGATGCATGCTGAATTGATGCTTGGGCCGTTGCGCTCGGCCTCTTCATCAATTTCGTTAACATCATATACAAAATTTGTTACTATTCATCAATTTCGTTAACGTCATAAACATTTGTTAGTGTACCTGATGCCTAACACCGCAAATTGCTGGTTCTGTTCGGTCAAGTATCCGCGATACTAAGCTTGTCGATATTACCTGGACTTTTAAACTTATTCTTGGTGGCTTATACTTGAGCGATACGCCAGTCGAGTAATCCTCTGTTCAATTGTTGTTATTGTTGACGGTTTTGACACGGAACTTCAAACTCAAATTTAACGCTTCTTTACCGTACGTAAATTCATCCTCGAGCCTAACTTTATCTCCAAAGAAGAATCAGATGAGAGTTCACGCAATAAAAACATTTCTAACATTTAAATAATTTGAATTTAATTTGCGCTTGTTCGCCTAATATTTCTTCTACAATATCATACATAATTAATACATTACATGCATAAATCAGCCCCAGTTAAAGCCTAATATTTCTACTTTAATACTATAAATAAATACTGGACATTACATGCACGAATAAGCCCTAATTGATGCCTGATATTTCTACTTTAATACTACAAATACTCTACACTACATGCACGCAATAGCCATAGTTAAAACCTAATATTTCTACTTTTAAACTATCACTAAGTTCTCTACATTACATGCAGGTTTTAGCCATAATAAAAGTTTAGAATCTGCACTATCATAGCATAAATGAGTTGAAAAAATGAATAAATAAATAAATAAGTTTAAATAAAAAAATAAAAAATTAATAATAAATGAATAAATAAAATAAGAAATAAATCTGACCTTAAGCTTGGCGCCGCCCCTGATTTGGTCGAGCAGCTGAGAGCGCGCGTCGGGGGGCTGTAGGGAGGCGGGGGGTAGTGACTGGTGGCAGTGGGTGACTGGTGGCAGTGGGTGACTGGTGGCAGTGGGTGACTAGTGGCAGTGGGTGAATGGTGGCAGTGGGCGACTGGTGGCAGTGGGTGACTAGTGGCCCACAAAAAAAGTGTTATGTCATTAGGCGGTAAGTAACTCATGAAAAAAGTATTGTTATTATTCAGAGACAAAGACGAAGAAATCAATTTTTGCAACTACGGGAAAAAGAAACAACATGAATATAAACAGTTGTGAAATGCTAAGGAAATAACGCTTGAAGATCACGCAAATAAAACAACAGTTCACCAGCAGGCGGCGGCGGCGGCGCCCTACCGCCGCCGAGTGGCGGACCGGCGGCGGAGACTTTAGAAGGCGGAGGCGGCGGGGGCGCCGCGTGACTGGTGGCGGCGATGTTACGTGGCGGCGGCGGCGGGGCGTTACGCGCGGGCAGAGACGGCGGGGGCGGCTTAGAGACGACGGGTGGCGGCGGTGGCGGTGCCGCCTTGTGGTCGCTGTAGGAAATATTGTTGTTGTTGTTGTTGGCGGGGGCGGCTGCGGGGGCTGTGGCGGAGAACATGGCCGAGTAGTTCTGGGTCTCGCGCTTGGCCTGCTCGATACCGCCGTTCTTGTCGATGAAATCGTAGATGAAGTTACGCGTGTGAGGGTCCAGCATCGTGTGGTCCACGCCAACCTAGGCGTTAAAAAAATATTATTATACTTATAATAAAGCGAGTAGTGTGGACATGCCAACCTGGACAGTAAAAATGTCATTATTAAACTTATAATAAAACGTATAGTGTGGTCCACGCCAACCTGGGCGGTTAAATGGTTATTATTAAACTTATAATAAAGCGTATTGTGTGGTCCACGCCAACCTGGGCGGTTAAATGGACCCCTGCTACAACCTGCCATCTCTTACAACCCACCCCCTGCTACAACATGCCATCTCTTACAACCCATCCCCAGCTACAACCTGCCATCTCTTACAACCCACCCCCTGCTACAACCTGCCATCTCTTACAACCCACCCCCTGCTACAACCTGCCATCTCTTACAACCCGTCCCCAGCTATAACCTGCCATCTCTTACAACCCGTCGCCAGCTACAACCTGCCATCTCTTACAACCCGCCCCCAGCTACAACCTGCCATCTCTTACAACCCGTCCCCTGCTACAACCCACCACCAGCTACAACCCACCATTTGGAAGAACTTTTGCAACGACTCGTCCTCGGAGAACTGAGCGAAGCCATTATCAGGGTCGAAGCCAACATGGGTGATGTGGCGGAAATCTGTAGGCTGGCCTATTTCCTCCTTACTGCACAAACAGGTAAAAATCCATCAAAATATTATACTGCATGTTCTTTGTCTTGTTAGCCTGGTACTGGAAATTAATTGAGCTATTTAAGCGCACATACCTGCCGTTCAGGACAATACCAGCACCTTAAATTGTATTTTGCATGGTAAAACCATGAGATATATATTGCAAACTGGGCCAAAATAGGACATGGAAGAAATTGAAACGTAAATTTTATTTTCTCAAGGGTATGAGTTTCACTCTAATTTCAAAACGAGAGTTAAATTGAATTTCAGTGCTTCATCAGGCAGCAATGGGATTATATTAATAAACACAACTTTTATTATAGTTCAAAAAGTAATGAGGTGATTGGGGAGAACGTGATTAGGTATGTGATTGGAGGTAAGTGTGATTGGGGGAAAGGAGTGCTGAGAGGGGAAGGCATTGTGAGGAAGAAAGACGTGATTAGGGAGTTCAGGATCAGGGGAAGAATGGTTTACAAAAAACAATATTTTCAAATCAAACAAATATTCTATCCCAAACAACGCTTGGTAAATCTGTTGGTGTAATTACAGCTATTCTAACCTTTTTTAAGATTTCTTGTTCAAAAAGCAAAAACAAAACGTAGAACCGGCTGAAAATTGAAATAAAAATGCTTACCGGATATTTTTCCTGCCCTTGGACGTTTTATATTTGTTGAAGCTAGGAGCAAAGTTAGCACTGCTCTGGATGGTGTTAGTGCCGCCAAGCTGAGCATCACCCTTCTGCGGCTGCAATACATTCCGCTGCTGCAGTTCATTCTGACGGTTCTGCTGCCGTTTGCGTTCTGATAATAAAAATCAGGGTTTCAACAAAATCAAGATATAAGCAAAAACTTTGTAGTGAGAAGATGGTCAAGTTAAAAGTTAAATGAATCAATTTATCCAAAACTGGAATCATATGAACAGTTCTGATGAGTGATAGGTAAAAACGGGGCATAATAGAACAGAGTTCTGATAGTTGAGAATAGCTATGCACATGTAATTCAATCTATTATATGAAAAACAAAACACTAACAAATGTACTCATATTTGAGCAGCCTTATATTTCTTTGGTCTAATTATTATTAAGGTGCCTTCATAATTAAATACATATTTATTGACAGCTGAGTGGATTAATGATTCAAATTGAGATGAATTCTTGGACATGGTGGCAGAGGCTTATTTTTTACCCTTCTTTTTTTTGGTCCTTAAGATGATCAGTACCTAAGTATCAATGATAACAGCACTTATCATACATAAGATATTAAATGAAATTTCAAAGTACAAGTTCTTGGATACAAGTTTGGATAGGATTGATATCACACACTCATTATAGGTGAGAATTCCAAAAGGAATCATATCCAAGAAACGTGTTTATGCTCAAGTTACATGACATCAATTGAGGTGATGCCCACAGTGCCCCACACACCTCTTACCTTCTCTCTTGCGTTGCTTGGCCAAGTTTCGGTCCTGGTAAACTTTGTAAAATGAAGCAGCTTCAGTTTCATCAGCAAAGCTCAATCCAATGACAGAATCCTGAAAAATGTCCATTTTAAAAATTATAAGCACTATAGAATATTAGGGACCCATTTTGAGATTGAGTTAAACTAAAATTATTACAAAATCTATTTCAGCATGAATACCAGTACTTTTGATTCTTTCAAACAATTTTTAGACAATTCAATTGTAATAATCTAAATAATGCAGAATAAAAGTGGACTGGAGTTTCTGACTAGTTAAATAAAATAATATAAACATTATTACACACTAAACAAAATAATATAAACCAAATTATTAACTAAACAGAACTTAAGGCTTCATAAATGCCAAACCTTTAATCTCTGTCGCAATGAACTATTGAGATAGAATTTATTTTGTTACAAATGTTTCCATAATGGGAGTTTCTTTTCATCAAATTATGTACTGAGCTAGGTACCTACATTCAACATTGGGTGATAAATGCCTTTTGAGACATATCAGAAGTGGTACATATCACTCACATCTCCCTGGAACTGATGGAAGAATGGCAAGGAGTTGTCATATGTCAAATTCTGGTAAAGCTCCTGTTCAAACAGCTTCACTCCACTGATGACATCGTAGACCTGAAGAATAAATAACTGGTTAAATTTTTATAAAATATATTAGCATCAAATAATTATACACAAAATCTGCACCTACACTGTTAGGTTTCAAGAATTTGGATGAAAGATGACATTTTGATTTGCAATATTAAGTTAAATACAACAGGATTGCACTTTCATATGGTAACAAATAAGCTAGTTTGATAGAAGATAATTATGTATTACTCCAATTGAAATCACCTGAATGTAATGAGATCTGCGATAACTATCCTTTGAAAAAGTTGCTACTCCACAGTGTGCCTTGACCCAATCATTGTGGTTTGGTGGCTTTGTAGTGAAAACTTGCACCACAGCGGCAGCAAGAATCTGTTGGACAAGGTTACATTTTTCAGCAGCTCAAAGAGCAGATTTTTTTTTCATTACAATTTTATGACTAGAGGCAAATAGTGACAAGTTTCTTTCTACAGTGTCTAGGAATCACTTTCTATGAGAAATAACACTAGGAAATCCCTGTCAACAGTTATTCCTTAGTGTTATAAATCTCCAAAAATTGAACAAATCAGTTTATAACCAATAAATTTGAGATAGGTTGCTGTGAAGACAGATTTAAACTTTCCAGTTCAAGTCTTATTACAAACTTATTTCAGAAGTCTGTTTAGCCCAGTGTCCATCTTGTATGTTAATTCATGCATGTACTATATATATCACATATCTTAACATGTTGACTATGTATTGGTACATATGCGTACCACGAAATGTATTTCTCCAGGAGGTAGTGGTACATAATTCAGGTTGCCTAAAATCGGCCAAATCCGAGAACAAAAAAGGCCAAAAAAGGCCGATAATTCAATATATATTTTCCTAAAATTGGCCAAATCCGAGAACAAAAAAGGCCAAAAAAGGCCGATAATTCAATGTATACTAGTTTATTTGTAGGTTCCGCTATAAAAATTCCATTTAGTTACTTTTTGCAGTATTTAAAATTTAATTAGGAAGTACCCTATCATAAATTTTAGCCGGGCAATGCAATTGAGAAAAACTAAATCACGGAATTTGTCTGGAAAAAAATTACCGTCTGGCAACCCTACTTAAAAGAAGTACAAAAAATGAAATAATAGTACAAGATGAAGCAATCGTAGTGAACGTGTTAATACAAAATTGAGTCTGACACTCAGCACTGCATATTTATAATATAGTATTTGTTTGCAAGGTTAGTTAGAAGAGTACCGTAGTGTTCATTTAGTTGATATTCTATTTTAAGGAAATTCACCCTACTGATATCATAAAAAGGAAGAAATTCAACATTGTGAACAATTGAAATGAACTGTGGCAGAAAAAAAAACAATCAAAACTTTCAACTGCAAATAGTGTGTAGTGGGAATGGATCTTATTCTATTCAATAAAAAACCATACTATATGTATAAATAACCATATATTTTAAGAACAACCCAAAAGGAAAGTGGTGACTGAAAAACATGGGAAGACAAATTACCTCAAGCATATAAATTGATGCATAATACATTTACCTACATTACATGTAAATGTATTAGATGTAAATGTAAATTTACATGTAAATAAATCTATATTTACATGTATATACACTAATAAAGCACCAGTAAAATTTGAAACATATGACACTCCAACTCACCGTTACTCTATTTCCAACCAACTTGAACAATGTTTGGTTTTCTTCTTCAGATAGCAAACTTGAGCGAGCATTTGGAGGTGGAGGACGCTTGCCTGAAGGCACTGCAGGCCCTGCCATTATGTCTAATGCAACTTTGCAAGAGCTAATTTCTTAATAAGTAAGAGTAATTGATTCGTTAAACTGACAGGAAAAAAATATATCAAAATTATGACATTCCCAACAAAATGACTTGCAATACACCCAAACTGGGCCTAACAAAATATGTCTTTTAGTGCATTTCAACTATGTTTTTTTTATCTCAAATGTTTCATTTTTAACCCAATCTGACAATTAGATATTTCCTCTAACAATGTGTTCTCAGGCATAGAAAATATTTATTTTCATACATAGTATCAACTAGAGATTTCCTGTAATTTTTGGAGCCTCAAGATTTTGGCTAGATGAATTCATTTGATTGTCTTCTAATTATTAGCAAAGTTTATGATCATGCCATGAGATTCTAAAATTATTGAAAATATGTTATATTGGTGGTACTTAAAAATTTTAATAAGAAACTTTGACTATTAAATATATATATACCTACACAAATTTCTTTTGTCATACTTTAACATGAATAAATTTCATGAATAACCAATCTAGGATAGGATAAACGCGGTATATTCCGTCATCGTGGGTAATTCCGTCACCTCTCTAGTTTTTCCTTTATATTAAGCTTTGTTTTAGTTCCATGCGTTTGTTGATGGTTGAAATGGTGACGTCATACATTTGCGCGTCGAACTAATGCCAAAACACTAGGTCTTGGCCATCTAGCAGGAAAACATTGAGATCCAAAGAGAGACAATGCACGCTACCCAGTGAGATCATCGAAAAATGTGTCAAATTTGACAGTTGACCTTGCTCTACCAAATAGTGAATAACTGTTTGTATAGGAAGAATATTATGGTTTGAGACTTTTAGATATGTCTGTGAATATATTATGAATCCTTTAAGTAAACTTGTATTTGCTGATTTCAAGTGGTAAACAAATTAATAGATGATTAAGTTGAGAAATGGATTTAGACACATGAAAACTAATTCCGCCACAACTTGAATTGGACACACACAGATCGTTCCAAGCTATGTACAAAAATTAAAATTTGCTTAATTAAAAGCTTAATAAGTGTTAATTAAAAGCGTAATTAAGTAGTGTTCAATATTCATTAGTGTTCTAAACTTCTAATTCAAAGCCATGTTGTATTCCAATACAGCTTGCACAGCGAACGTAATTCGAACACGTGGATGTCGGCATTACGTATCAGTTGAATTTGAAGCGCGGACGGAATACGACTCGCCATGTGTCGAATATTGCCACACACAGTGACGGAATATAGGGATTTGGTAGGTTTCCATTCTAAAGGCTTTTTAATCAATATGGCAACATTTTGTGACGTTTCATTGTTGCTGACGCGTGGTGAAGTGTTTTGAGAGTCACGTGAAGGCAACAGAACTTACGTAACGCATACATTTTTTTATAGTTTTTTATTTCTCGATGTGTCCTTAATGTGCCGGAATATAGGGTAAACGCGGTATATTCCGACATCGTAGGTAATTCCGTCACCTCTCCAGCTTTTCCTTTATATTAAGCTTTGTTTTAGTTCCATGCGTTTGTTGATGGTTGAAATGGTGACGTCATACATTTGCGCGTCGAACTAATGCCAAAACACTAGGTCTTGGCCATCTAGCAGGAAAACATTGAGATCCAAAGAGAGACAATGCACGCTACCCAGTGAGATCATCGAAAAATGTGTCAAATTTGACAGTTGACCTTGCTCTACCAAATAGTGAATAACTGTTTGTATAGGAAGAATATTATGGTTTGAGACTTTTAGATATGTCTGTGAATATATTATGAATCCTTTAAGTAAACTTGTATTTGCTGATTTCAAGTGGTAAACAAATTAATAGATGATTAAGTTGAGAAATGGATTTAGACACATGAAAACTAATTCCGCCACAACTTGAATTGGACACACACAGATCGTTCCAAGCTATGTACAAAAATTAAAATTTGCCTAATTAAAAGCTTAATAAGCGTTAATTAAAAGCGTAATTAAGTAGTGTTCAATATTCATTAGTGTTCTAAACTTCTAATTCAAAGCCATGTTGTATTCCAATACAGCTTGCACAGCGAACGTAATTCGAACACGTGGATGTCGGCATTACGTATCAGTTGAATTTGAAGCGCGGACGGAATACGACTCGCCATGTGTCGAATATTGCCACACACAGTGACGGAATATAGGGATTTGGTAGGTTTCCATTCTAAAGGCTTTTTAATCAATATGGCAACATTTTGTGACGTTTCATCGTTGCTGATGCGTAGTGAAGTGTTTTGAGAGTCATGTGAAGGCAACAGAACTTGCGTAACGCATACGGTTTTTTTTATAGTTTTTCATTTCTCAATGCGTCCTTAAAGTGTCGGAATATACCGCGTTTACCCTATTAGTTGATGCTAGATTGCTAGCATTGGTTAAAAAATAAAAGGTAAAAATTTGCTTTGCTTGATATTTCCTCAGCTTTTCCATTGCCTATTCTCTGTAGGTAGCTGTGGAAAACATCTACCTTGAGGAATCAGGACTGCAGTCTGACTGTCTGAGTCTGCAACTTGCAACTGTGAACTGGAGCTTTTCTGGCTTCTGCCATAAGGCATAATTGGAAGTTGGAACCAGAACCACTAGATAGCTAGTAGATTCCTGTAGATAAATTACCTCCCATCTAATTGGCAAGAAATCTAAACAAAACCTCCCATCTGAAATCTTCCGAACTGGCAAGATTTCAGAATCAACCCTCTAGAATGAGTCTAGATTAGGTCATTAGGCCTCATATTATTCCACCATTTTTTCAATAGTTTTTCATTTAGATGGCGGCTGAGTGGTTTGAACTTTGAAGAATGAAGACCAGTGTAGTAGCCTAGTAGGTATAACTTGTATTAAAAAAACAACGTCCTTTTTTCCAACGCTTGCCGGTTTTCCGTCCCATTATATATCTCGTAAGTAATTTATTCAACAACTTCTACAAGTCAAATGCAAGTGGCAACTGGCAAATGCTGAAGGGCAAGATACGAATTCTCATAAAGTTGAAGCTCACACGACCGTACACCGTCGGTGCGAGCCTGCATCCTCCAGTTTGTCAAACCGTCGAACGTGGAATCATTGATCTTAATTTATCAAGCTTCAGCCGTCCGAGTTTCGCACTCCTGCGCTTATCACTCGCACTCGGTTCCTAAGTCCCACGGTACTACGGTAGTTCCTTAATAGTGGAACAGACCATTGAGCGGAACTGTCAATTTTAAACGTATGGTACACGTGCAAAAAATTGACTTGCCTATATTTTGCCTGATTTTTTCTACCTAGATATCTGACAAGAGAAAATGTAGTGAAGCGGCTGCAATTTACATAAAGAGAAACACGAGCTTCATACAGAGAGGCAACAGGCTGAGCAACACAAGATTCGAAATGACACCTACCTAAACTACATATAATGAGGAAAGCAACAGCCAGAGAACAGATTTTTTTTAGCATTTTGACAAAAAATTGTATACAAATATTTGACTTAAATGCTTGCAAGCTGCCGGCATTTTAAGCAATTATGGGAAAGAGGTACGGTGAGAAAAGTAGCCGATCGCCGTCGAGTTAACCCGATACTGTAAGTTGACTTGCCAAGCATGGTCAACCTGGCTAGTTAGTTTAGTGGCCAAATGTTTACTAGCGCTTCAGCTATTTAGCTATCTCGCACCGAAAGTCAAGATGAACATCACCATAGAGGTGGAACGTCTCAATTATTCATCACCCACAAGGGGCGGAAGGTCTCAGATGTCCAGCCCACTGAAGCTCGCCCTAAAGAAGACCCCTGGCTAGCAGTAAACTACCGGTTCACTGCTAGTGCGATAGAAAAAGTTTGGGAAGCGTCTGATATATACAATCTTTAACATTTACTGACGCATGCTTCAGTTTAGCAAGAGATAAAAAAAATAATTTTCCACATTTTGGTCGTTGAAATGTGCAAGGTTTAACGATTAAATTATTCGATAAATCCACGGCGCTGTCATGGGCACTTGAAATTCTCCCATGCGAAATTATTAACACCTCATTTATTTAATTGCAAATTTCAATACATCATGAATAATATGTCTTCAGGAACTTTTCAGTGACGCGCGTATCCACGATACTTCGGTACGCCATGTAACGCGGCGCTGCGAATTCACCTCGCCCCAATTCGTGGGCTCTTCGGTATGGCTGTTACTCGCGGGGCTTGCGAGTGATCGGACGACTCGCTTTGCCACGCGCAAGATAGCTAGCCGACCAACAGTTCTCTGTGCCAAGAAAGCAATTCGGGAACTGCGTCACCTCTGATGACAAGACGCACTTCTAGATGTGATCTCTGCTCGACCCACGAACTTTAACTATTTTTTCTTCATTGTCGTTCCTGGCACAAGATTTTTGTATCTGAAATCAGTAAAGCATTTGATGACGCAATTCATCAATTTCATGGTTCCCACTGTACTTTTAGCCTTGCACGCAAATACTCAAGATTTCATTAAAAACCTAAGATGTAATTGGGGAATTGCAAGCGAACTGTCCAGGAAAGCTATGAAAAAATTAGATCAGTACTCACTGAAGTAAGTGACAGCGCATTTTCTCGTGCGTGAAGTCACGGACAGACGGACGGACATGACGACACAATAGCGCCTTTTATTCCATAAATGAGAAAATGCGCAAAAAAGTTGGAAATAAGAAGCAAATATGCAGTGACATTAGTCATACCGTTTTAATGAATTTATTCAAGCAACCTACAATTACTTGAATTGTCGTCTTAATATCTCCTTTAACTATTACACTAAACAGCTTCTATCAAAATCCACAATTACTTAATCAGAATTGAAGCTGGAACATTAGTGAAATTCATATTAAATTAAATCGATGCCGTAGTGAAGTCTGTAATTGTTTAAAACATTGAAGTTGTAAGTCTAAGATAAACTGGCGAGGCATTAACCCAATCATAAAATGATTTTTGCATCTCGTCACGTAAGAGGGCAGCAGCATTATATCGACCTTTAATAGCAAGTGTTTTATGATGAGTCATTGTTCATTAATATAATCAAAGTGTCCGAAATCGTGACACTCAAACTCACAGGGGTTAACGTTTAGACACACCATTACACATTTAAAGGAAGAACAAAAAATTCCAGAAATAGTGATCAATTGCTGACGCAGTAAATTGTACAGGTAAATATCGGTATTGTTTACAGGTGCACCGTGGGAAATACAAGATTCGAGTGCTGCAAGATTAAGAAGAGATTTGTTAAGGAAATGGCGATTGGTAGCTGTATTGTGAATGTCATCTTATAAAAAAATGAGAGCAGTGACCATAGGCGTTAATCGACGACGCAATGACGCCAACGTCATGCAACGCCTCCTCTAAACAGCAGATTGACTACGCACCCGAGTTTGTTTTTTGATAGGCCCTTGCACTGTTCATCATATCAATGTTACGTATATTAAAGAGATGTCACAACGCGGCTAACGTCAATATTATTTAAACTTCATATTCATCTGCATGTAACAGACCAGTGGCTGAACATCTACAAGGTCGAATGTTCTTCATTTAATTAAGACTCGCAAAAATTACCTTCAAACACAATCGAGTGATAGTTCATCTGGAGAAACTATCAGATTCTAAGAAGAATTCATACAAAGCCAAGAGTTTGTAATAAATGAATGTACATCACTAAGTGTTAAACTCCTGGTCTCCATACAGGGATAGTTAATTGTTACTTCCAGGAGGCGCAACGCTGAAGGGGTTGGCGGGAGGGGGTTGAGTAGAAGGATCAAACGGCACTGCCTGAGGGTACGCCCCGGGATAAGGAACTGGCGCGCTGTAGCCGTAACTGGGAGGAGCAAAGCCTGGGGGCTGGAGACTGCTTGCGTCGTACATGGTGGGTGCCATAAAGTTAGTGTAACTAGAGTAGTTATTTGTGTTGGCAGCAGTAGAAGTTGAAGCAGTGGAGGAACTTTGTGCTGAAGGAGGCGGCTTGGTGAAATCAGGTGCCGGGGAAGTCTGCGGAGGGAGGTTGTACGCCTGGCCGCTGGTCGTCGTGATCTTTGGGCTGGTGGCAAATGTTGAAGTCTGTGAAGTTGGGTTCAAGGGCGGCACTGGGAAGGCTGCCGGATGAGCTGTTGTCGTGTTGCTGGGAGCTGCTACTTGGCTGGCAGCTGTCACTTGGCAGGCAGCTGTCACTTGGCTGGCAGCTGTCACTTGGCTGGCAGCTGTCATTTGGCTGGCAGCTCTGCTGGATTCGGCCGCGGCCGTCGACTTCGATAGTTCTTCGTCTAGCAGCTTTAGGCCGACCTTCATGGCTTTCAAAGTGTTCAGTTTCAACTCGGCATTCATCAGCAACTGAGAAAAAAATGGTGATTTTTTCATTAAAAATTACTGAACGCATTTATCATTCATTACATCACAAGATTTTTATAATGTTGCCAAACGAATACATTTCAAATTTTAGTATTATATCAATACTAAGGTAACCTCATGTGACTTTCTTCTGCTTGATCTATCGGCTACTGCTCTCTCATAGCGTGAACAAACCGTGTCGAGCAAACGGTTTCAAGTTTTCACGATTTTCCGTGCACAAAAAATCATTAGTTTAGGAATTCATAAATTCACTCAGCTTCCAATGTTGAATAATTATGAATGCAAGATATTGCTGAGTCAAAAACATTCAAAAATAATAACAACAAGCCTTGGAAGGCATTGAGGTTTGTAAAATTCGGTACAAGGGCTACCATACCAACAGAATGTCTTGCCTAAGCTCTGGAATACGTAAGTTGCGAAATGACGTTATTCTCGCTGTCAACTGCAGACTTTGAAAAACGAATTGACGTGGTTCAGAGCGTTCAAATTGTAATTAATTCAAGGTAATTCTGATATCAACAGTAAAAAATAACCATCTAAGAAAAATGCTCTTATTGTCCGCACTACTAACAACTGAAGGACTATGCTATGAACAATTACATTAAGCGTCTTTATTTAAAGTGCTACCAATAAGAGGGAGAGAGATGCTCAACTTCTACTAATAAACCGAAAGTCTTCAACATACACCTGAGTGAGTGATGAAGTTTTATTTCATGGTAACTCCGAAACGAACTTCTGATTGCTCTTGTAAGCTAGACATTACATAATCGATTTATAAACTGCCAGATTAAGATTTCTTTCAATGATGAGCATCAAGCATGAACTTGTACATCAGATTTTTTGAGCTCCTTGACTCTTTCTGATGCAATATTCAATGATTAAAAACTCGAGTTACTGATTGCCTACAACACCGAGTCTTACCTCAGCCGTTTTGAGCTCCTCTTTCCTGATGTAATATTCCCTGAGTGATGACACGAGGGAGTTTGACACCGTCAACGCAAGCTCTGCATCCTTCTCACTCTTGATCACACATCCAGCCTGAGAATGACCACACAATAAATGAAATTCGCAAAACAATTTAATATTGTTTATTTAAGAGGATTTAATATTGTTTATATCATTTTAGTAAATTTTAGCACTGGTGTAAAGGCCCACACATGATTAATGATGAAATCGGTCAAACGTTGGTGCAAAGTGAAAGTTTCCTTGAGTGAAAAATAAATAAATTTGTTCGATTCTCATCAATGTTATTGCAGCATAGTTTTAGTCACCTAATCACTACATCAAAGAATAGTGAGCACAGCAAATACTTCAGTGTCCCACCGACCGATAACATGAGTTTCTTTCCATCAAGTAGCTTGTATAGTTGAAGGGAAAAACCTGTAATTCACTAATAATATAACCTCAAAATAATCATCGTAAAGGTGAAATGCGCAGACAAATAAAGGAAAAAGTCGGCGCTAATAACAGAGACTGCTTTCTAAATTTTTGACCCTGTAATTTCCAGATCAGGTAAGCAGCAACAGGCACACTGATCATCACTGCAGTAACTGCATTCAGTGTCACTGCAACAAGCGCATTCAACACACTGCAACAAGCGCATTCAGCATCACTGCAACAAGCGCATTCAGCGTCACTGCAACAAGCGCATTCAGCAGCATTCAGTGTCACTGCAACAAGTGCTTTCAGCATCACTGCAACAAGCGCATTTAGTGTCACTGCAACAAGTGCTTTCAGCATCACTGCAACAAGGGCATTCAGCGTCACTGCAACAAGTGCTTTCAGCGTCACTGCAACAAGTGCATTCAGTGTCACTGCAACAAGTGCATTCAGCGTCACTGCAACAAGCGCATTCAGCGTCACTGCAACAAGCGCATTCAGTGTCACTGCAACAAGTGAATTCAGCTTCATTGCACTAAGCAACTCACAAGCTTCTTCAGCAAGATGCCAGTGCTGCCGCCCGCAGCCAAGCTCTCGCCGTCCACCATGATGGGAATGGCAAATTTTATTGGCTCATCGGATAATCTGAAAATCAAATCAAACTATAAACCCCGAAAGTATCTCAATTACAATGAAGGGATTCATTAATTGGTGACAGTAGTGAAACATTGTACGTATAAATCTAAAAGCAAACAATTTAAGAGCATTAGGAACAACCATCAGTTGATTATGGTCACTTTCTGGTGAGAACTTAGCTTTTAAATGAACAGTTTTGAAGGGATTCATTTTATATTTGGATTACAGAAAGTGAAGATGTATTTTTCTGCCCATTGACTTCAGATTTAGTTACTCCATAATTGATAATAGAATTCTTAGCCGATTGTTATCTTTATGGCTGGTTGCACACCAAGAGTATAGAGCATGTCTAAAACAGCACTCGTTAGTCTTTCTACACAATACTAAGCGAACCTCATGTTATGTTACCTCCATTCCATGTGGAGGAGTGATTTATGGCGCAAATTCAACAGATTATTTGGCAAAATTCTCAGCATCTGTTCAAGAGTACTTATAAATTGAGAATGAAATTGTTTTTCACGAATAATACGAATTCGTATTTTCTAGACGGGATGAAAACTAGTGAAAATTTCTATCCCAGTTGGACAATTTACCCTCCAACAGAAAATACTCTTCAGTTACCATTAAGCAACATGGTTTCGAAGTAAATTTTCATGGTTGATTTAGGATATTATGCTAACAAAGTAGGTAGTAGATTAGATAGCACGATTTGTGAACAAGCATCTTTTAAATTTCAATCAAGGAGTGAGAATATCAAAATTCCAGCTAAGAACCATCAAGCAATATTTTACAAACAAGCATGCGTTAAGAATTGACATCTCTCAACTTTCGAAAAAAGCAATACAGGGTTACTGCCATTCAAGTTGAAGAATCACTCACTCTTGAAGTCCGAGGTTAGCATTGGCCTGACTGTCGTCGTCGCGTGTCTGCACGGCAGGTCTTGTGGTTACATTTGACTGGACGTTGTCGAGTTTAGGCCTCTTAACAGGAGGGCTGAATGTTGGTCCTTCAACGGAAGAGCTGTGATCAGGAGCCTTGCGTATCGATTCAGGTACCGAGGTATTAAGGCCCGTTTGGTTGGAACCAAACATTTGGTTAGGACCTGGACCGATTTGACCAAACTGATTATTTCCTGGACCATTGGGGCCAAACTGATTATTCCCAGGACCGCTTGGACCATAAGGATTATTCCCTGAAACATTGGGACCAAACTGATTGATTGCGTCACCCTTGGGCCCGAACTGATTGTTCCCTGAAACATTTGGGCCAAGCTGATTGTTACCTGGACCGCTGGGATCAAACTGATTGTTTCCTGGACCATTGGGGCCAGACTGATTGCCCCCAGGTGCGTTGGGGCCAAACTTATTGCTCCCTGGACCGTTGGGGCCAAACTGATTGCTCCCTGGACCGTTGGGGCCAAACTGATTGCTCCCTGGACCGTTGGGGCCAAACTGATTGTTCCCAGGACCGTTGGGGTCAAACTGATTGTTTCCTGGACCACTGGGGCCAAACTGATTGTTTCCTGGACCGTTGGGACCAAACTGATTGTTTCCCGGACCGTTGGGGCCAAACTGATTGTTCCCCGGACCATTGGGACCAAACTGATTGTTTCCTGGACCGTTGGGGCCAAACTGATTGTTTCCTTGATTGTTGGGGCCAAACTGATTGTTCCCAGGACCGTTGGGGCCAAACTGATTGCTTCCCGGACCGTTGGGGCCAAACTGATTGTTTCCTTGACCGTTGGGGCCAAACTGATTGTTTCCTTGACCATTGGAACCAAACTGATTGTTTCCTGGACCATTGGGACCAAATTGATTGTTTCCTGGACCGTTGGGGCCAAACTGATTGTTTCCTGGACCATTGGGGCCAAACTGATTGTTTCCTGGACCATTGGGACCAAACTGATTGTTTCCTGGACCATTGGGGCCAAACTGATTGTTTCCTGGACCATTGGGACCAAACTGATTGTTAGGACCGTGCGTGCCAAATTTGTTTCCATGTTCATTGGGGTCAAGCTGATTATTTTCATTCTCATTGGATCCAAATTTATTTTTTCCTGGACCTTTTGGCCAAAACTTGTTCATTGGGCCGTTGGGTCCAAATTTTTTCACTGGGCCATTGGGGCCAAACTTGTTTCCTGGGCCATTGGGACCAAACTTTTTCCCTGGGCCATTGGGGCCAAACTTGTTTCCTGGGCCATTGGGGCCAAACTTGTTCCCTGGGCCATTGGGACCAAACTTGTTCCCTGGGCCATTGGGGCCAAACTTGTTTCCTGGACTATTGGGGCCAAACTTGTTTCCTGGGCAATTGGGGCCAAATGCATTTCCTGAGCCCTTGGGCCCAAACTGATTTTCTGGGCCATCAGGGCCAAACTTTTCATTTCCTTGACCGTTGGAGTCATCCTCATTTTCTGGGCCACTGGGGCCCAACTTGTTTGCTAAGCCATGAGTGCTTGGCTTCTCAGCAGCTGGGTCAATGGGACCACAAGAATCCATTTGCCCACTAGTGGCCTCTGCTTTCTCCTCAGCAGCATTAGCGCCCATCTCATTTACACCTGAACAACTCGGCTCCATTTCCTCAGGGCCGGAACCCAGCGGAATTTGATTTGGATTACCAAAATTGGGACCACCAAACTGATTTGGCCCAGGACCATTCATCCGCATGTTTGGTCCAGGACCTCGGGGACCTCCCATCCAGGGTCCAGGCCCTCTGAAACGACCCATAAATCCACGGGGTCCAAACATTGGAGGTCGAGCTCCACGGAAAGGCCGCATTCCTCTGGGACCTCCAGGTCCATTGAATCTCATTCTTGGGCTCATAAAAGGGCCCATTCCGGGCCTTGGACCCATATGAGGACCAGGGAATCCAAAAGGCTCCATTCCTGGTTCAAAGAAGTTTTCCTGAAATCCTTTCTTCTTGACAAAATTCTTTTGAACGATGCGGCCCACTACAGTTTTCTTCGGCCTCTCCATGAACAAGGCCAGCCCCTTCCTCTTGCCAAAGCCCCATATCAATTTCTCTGGAATAAGAAAACAAGCAATTACTTTCAATGACTAACATATTTTTGAACCACTGAATTATCTCTCGAGTTTGGAATGAGATGACACCTTGTTCTTTCCTTCCATTGTTTTAATATATTTGAATGCTACAGCCATTCAATGCAATACATATATTTGAATGCTACAGCCAGCTGATCTACAACCGAGTTTGCATGAATCATAACTTTTCATGCTAACAATTCAAGAGGCTATTATATCAGAATTAAATTTGTCAGCATTTTGAGTATTAATTAGTTACTACAAGTATATAAAAGCATTTGCTTCTGTTAAAGTACCTAGCATTTATTGAGATAGAATTACATGTGTAATCAATTGATTTTAAAACCTATACATTTTTACAGAAAGGGAAAGCCCTTGTAATGATCACAATGTCATAATGAGTTGAATTTTTTTATTGTAAAAAATAAATGAAAGGGTAGATGTTGCTTCAATTTTTTTCAATTATAAAAAAAACTAGTAATGAAACTCTCGTTCAAAACTGTGAAAGTAGCTGGCAGTCAAGATTGTAGACAACTTTACTAGAGGACCTCCTGTGTCTACACCTGCGTTTAAAGCATGCTCTTGAATATTGGTATAAAAATACTTCCATGTATGATGAAAACTAGTAAATATGTACAGACATAAGAAAAAGATTAGCGTACATACATGCAAGTATGAAAACTTAAATTGAATAGTATCTTGATCATTTGATGCAGACTAATAGACAACTAAAGGAGCCCCTGTGCCATACTCACTTGGAGGTGTGGTTATGCCCTTAGCCTTCAGCTCCTTCAATTCTTCCAGTTTCTAGAAGAGAACATATAGCATAATTCAATGCTAGAATTGGTTTAAACTTTCAAAACTGTAACACCAAATGGATCAACAATTTTTGCAGTCAGAAATTATCTGTAAAGTATTGTTCACACTTGACTTTGGTGGTTGAAAACTTGCATCAATAAGATAACTATCACATTTAGCGTCATCAATGTTATACTACGCATTAGTTAAATGGCCTCACCCGTCTGTGGCGTGCTCCATTGCAATGCGTTTCGATGATCTTCTTGGTGTTGAGTTCAGCTTCACACACCTTAAAAAATTATTGATGGCACGGCTATACAATTAAGTCATTTGACACAAATATATAAGGAATTACAAGAGTAACACAGAATTATTTGCACACAAGATTCTTCATAACAAACCAAGCTGATCAAGATCGTTTTAAGACATGCTGTAGGTTAACTATGCTTGCACATAATTCTTGCTTTAGCAACGGCGTTATTCATTATGCAAGCAAATAAATCTAATAATATTATGTAGAAAGACTAGAGACTCCAGCTTTGCACTTGTTCCCATCACTGATTAATAGAGAAGCCAACATACAAGTGTACTTCAGGATCAATTTAACTAACTGATCTAAGTTCAATAAAACATTTTCATTAGCTCCAAGAGGGGAGCCAAATATCAGAACATACCTCACAGAAGTAAGATTCCCTGTTCTGATCAGTGTTCCAAACTGCTTTCAAGAAGTCACCACCAAATTGTTCAGCTGCAAAACAACATGGATTTTTTAAATAAAGCCATCAATCAAATATGAATGGTGGAGAAGAATGGTGAAGATGTTTACAATACCTAAGAAATTTATCCTCATTAACAAGCTTTGTTCTATTGCCTCATTCTATATATTACTGCAGCAAGAAGCACCTACGTATATAAAAATGCAAACAATAGATTAAGAGTTACATGAAATAGGTACGGTACTAAATTTGTATACTGCTTCACTACCCAATTTTTTTTGAAGGTATAACATCTATGATATCTGTGATGTTCTGTGTAAAACTGATCACATGACCTTCAACCTCTCACAACTAGAACTTTAGTTAATAATTGCTAAATTCAAAGTTTCTTCTTAATTGAAGTATAATATTCAGCAAAACTTGCATATATGGATAACCATTGATAGGAACTGGTCAGCTACTGAAATAAAGTTTTATTCTGCAGGTGTGCCTTTTCATATTTCTCTTAGGTAGTAATAGGCTGAAGCTTTTCTTAGTGCATTGTTTAAAGAGCCCTAGACATTCAAAGATATTTTTAGCCTTTATACAGATGATCAATGAAATAAAATGACGATCGCTAACATTTTAGATACCGTACTAAATTTCAATCGTCCTAATTAGACTTCTACTAGAAAGAGACAACTTGCACTTTTATTTCCATAATTTACAACAATATTAAAATACCTCATGCCATTTGTATAATATGCTAGCTAAAATGATGATTATTAATTTCCTAGTAAATAAAAAATATCATTTTAATAATGCACCAATTAAACACTAGATTTTAAAATATTAAATTCATAGTGGTTTCAAGTAAAAATTTCAGGAAATAAAATATTTAGATAGGTACAACCCAAAGCAATAAAATAAAGTTTTTTCAGTGTATTATTTAACAAGGCCATCTATGCAAGTTTTGCTGAATACCAAACCAACAATGCAAGATCAGCCCTCAAATTTGAATGGATTTGAGATGTAGTGGAACATAGCAGAGTGGAAAGGTATTCAAATTCATTTTTAGCCAATAAGTTGAAACTGGAGCCATATATCTAAGTAAATATACAATACCAATATACTCAAAAATTCACCAAAGCTAGCTGATTTGATATTGTCAAGGAACTATCATGAGATGAATGCACTGATTATGTCAAGTGAACTTGGTTGAGAGGCAAATGTTGAACAACATTTTGGGATGATCTTTGTCATCTTTCAAATATGTATGCTTTGAGCTTACCAAGTTTCTTCTCAGCATGAAGAGCCCAGGTCTCATCAATAGCACTTTCTTCTTCCTCTTCTCCTCCAATGAATTCATCTTCTGTAAAACAAAAATTGGTAGAATCCAATTCAAATAAAATTCTGAAAAAATATGCATGCATAGATTACTAAAGTGTGGTTTGAAATAGCTTCCTATAACTGCATTCAAATTTGTTATGCAATATTATAGTTGCTCACTAATACTTTCTATCAATAATCATATCCAATAAAAAAAAGTTGTATTTTTTTAAGGGAGGTTCTCCTCACAAAGTCACTTCTGTTATGCTGAAAGTTGGAAAATACTTTTGAGCAACCAGAATATGTAAGCAGAACCAATATTTACATTAATTCATCTTTTATGGAGTTATGGTTTCATTTCTGCAATACTCCAGGTTCAATGCAACCAAAGTCTTCAAGGATCTTGCCATGAGAGCAAAATAGAAATAAATAATGAAACACAATTCAGAAGTTCAATGTAGTTCACTCAATGATTCAGAGACATAGATGCTTTATAAATACTATTATTCAATTAAAGAAGCATCAAAAATTATAGTGAAACATAGAATTTTACCCTTAGGAATTGCAATATGATAATTTATTTAATTAAGTGAACTCTGCATCTAGTTTAGAACTTTAGGTTCAACAAAATAATGCATTAACACTGCATTTTGAATTCACTAGAATAATAGATGCTTTTTGACAACTATAGTTGCCATTTATTTACTAGGAAAAAATCAGTTTGTTCATGTTCTGAACAGTTGATCCTAAATTTTAGCTCACAATTCAAAAGCAGGAATCCCATGGGACTCCCAAAAAGCTATTGCATGTCTGAAATAATCCCAAGTAGTTTGAAATAAATGCCCATATAAAAGATCTTAAAACAATACGTCATTTCAACACAGAATAAATATTTTATAAAAACAAATTTAGGAATAATAACCCTCAATTAAACATATCCTAAGCAAAAATTAAATCAATTTCAAAATCTTAGATGTAAAAAAATTACTTACCCATGATAGTTAATTGGGCTATCAGGACTAAAAATAAACTACACTTAAATATATTTTCATAACAGTAGGTGGAATAAGTGTCAAAAACAATATTTATACTTACCATGACTGGCAAACAAGTAATATTTGTTTGATATCAAGTGAAATGAAGCTAAATATCAAAGAATGTGGAAGCATAGGAAATCTGGGCAGCTGTAGGACTTGATATGAAGTCATTCAAACTAAATATCAGATTTCTAGAGCACCAAGCACTCTAGATGTACATATGCACACAATTCCATAATCAATTTCAATTCAGTGTTATTTCTCTTTTAAATCTTGAAATTTCAAAAGAAATCCCATATTCATTCAACTGTATATTATGGAAATGATGAAAAATAGCGCAGTTAAATTGTGAGCTTTTCTAAACTATTAAAAAAATTTATTTTAGTATGCAAGGATAACAATATTGTAATGACTGACATTTTGCAGTAATATTCATAATTGAAGTATAAATATTTCAAACCAGACCAGTAAACAGTAGCCTTGAAATTACATTATTCTGCATCAAGTTCTTGAAAATGGATGAGTGGAGTAGGTAATATAAGGGAATTAAAAAACTTCAATCTAGAAATGTCTTTCAGACAGCTGAAGGAAGTTATTGTGCTTGCAAATTTATCTTTTACTTGAATTAATTGAAGGAACTTGAGCTCATCTTAAGCTGTTCAACAATGAGATGATAAACTTGTGTCAATTGTGGGTCAACTTTCAAATTACACCAATATTAAAACAAAATTTGACCTTACAATCATCCTAACCACAGATGTTAATCTTAATAGCTTTCATATTATTTTGAACGCACTTATAAAGAGATTTGAAATGAAAGTTGTTAAAGATACAAGTTTAAATGTTAAGTTTTAATTTAATTAATTTAATTTAAATTTGATTTCAATAACTTTACCTAGAGACAGCTGCAGCAAATCATTATTGGTAAGCAAATTTGTTCAAACTTTTCTTCCAAAAAACATGTTTCATGGCTAAGTTATGAATCTTAGTCAAAATATAGGATTTAAGTATATCTCGACTGAGCATATATCAAAAAATTAATATCATTCAGGCAAATCAAAGGTTGAGAATATAATGATTTTGATTTTTTTATAACTGTTCCAAGAGGCTAAATCAATGCACAATGAATTTATGTAAATTTTGAATGATTTATTTAGCAAAAAAATGAGTGAAAAACCACATTCTTAAAATTTTTGAAAAATAAAAGGCTGCTAAACAGTTCCTACATGAATTGGTCATGATCTAACCCTTCAATGAACTAATATGATAATTCTTAGATTATCAACAATGCTTATACCAAAAAGACTTATTGCCAATGCTTTGATATTGGTCACTGTGATGCAGTAAAACTCTGAACATTCATTTATTTAAATTGAAAAAAGGATAGCAGAATTTTATTTCATTCAATTCTGCCTTGAACAATCAGCAATGTTGCATAAATAAGATGTCATTATGCACATCTTCATACATGTTTATGCATCTCTACGAGAATCATTTATGCTTCTTGTAGCTGAATTTATCAAATTATAGCTCCATAACAGACAAATAGTTAAAATCATAACATGGAAATTAGTTTCAACAACATGTTTGAGGCTTCAAAGCTAAGTTGAGGCTTCTTCTAGGTGGTAAATATTTTCATTTATATGTTCTAAGAGCATAAACCATTCTCTAACGATTTACAAGTCTAAAACTTTCTCCACAACCAAAGCCAGTAGCAACCTAACCAGTCACCACCCATACCCAAACATTACAGTTTTACTGCATGGATTTGATGCTCAGATGCAGTCCAGGGCTGGAGGAGTGAGGATAGTTTAGACTGCCTCATAGGCAGTGTGAAGGATACTAAACCCCTGTAGACAAGCAGCTCTTGGTGGCAGGTGAATGACGGCCTCTATGACCTAAGGAACCAGAGCAACCAACTCACCAGCAACTTGAAAGTCATCAGCAACCTCTCCTCCCTCAGCTTCCTGAACTGCGTCAGTATTACCTTCCATTTCTACAGAGCTCTCTGAAAAGTTATAAATGGTCCAAAATTTAGCCAATTAAAAATGAAATCTTAATTAATTTCCAGGGGAGATGAGAGTTCATTACTGAATAACAAAAGGATTGTGAGTTTTGTTCAATATTTCATCCATTAGTCAAGCAATATTTTACCAAAGGACTCAATAAATAGATCGCAAATTGATACAATCTCTTCAAAATTATTTGGGCTCTTTGGCAAAATATATTCAAGCAGTAATCTGTCTTTAATTAAATTATTTCCCTTACTGGTACTATATTATAAAATGAAACTAAAAATGCAATAATTGCATCAAGACTTCAGAAAATATACCTAAGCAACAAATTTGCACATCCAAAATAAGCTCACTCACTTAATCAGTGAACTAAATTGATAATCTCATCATTCCCAACAAATTATCCCACGACACATTATGTAGTCCATCAGGCACTCTGCTGATGAGTGCAAAATTATTTCAATAATTTTTGCACAGTAAAGACACAATGAAATGACAATAAAGAACTTTTTCTTCAAATAAAATAATTTGCATCACATTATACACATAATGAAAGATAGTACAAATATGAGAACACCCCCTGTAGGCTGGCGAGTGAGCACAGACTGACAGAGCTGCAAACTACAAAATAGTAAATTTCTGCAATGAATGAAAATAACAAAAACCAAATTTACAATGTCCACAGATGGAAAAAATTCACATACTTTAATTATTAAATAGTTTCTTGGCCTACAAATAACTACAACACTCACACGGCATTTTAAAGAAAAAAAAAATATTATGGAGACATGTTTTCATACAAATAAGACATAAATTAGAGTTTGTGCCCAGAACAACAATAGCTATCTAGTTATACCAAATTTAGATACTGTAAAATGGGGTTACTTTGACCGGCGGGATAACTTTGACCACTTTTCGTTTTTTTAACAAAAACCCCCCAAAACTCAAAAACGATTTGACATAGAAAAATTTTGTCAACGGCCATCAAAGGCCTAATACTGAGACTACATAACACAATAGAAAGATTTAAAAAGTTTGCATATCTAATAGGTTAAAAAATTAATAATGTGACCCACGAAAAAGAGCTATTATTTGAAGCCTGTCGGAGTACCCCCTCCAATTTTTTCATTTTTTGGTAAAATAACTCCAGGTTTTGATGCATTGTAGTAGAACTCTTCTAGTTACAATACCAAAAAATAAAATTGATTTTACCACCCGGTCAAAGAAATCCCAAGAGCTGGGGTAACAAAGACCATCACTTTTTTTGAAATTACATCAAAACTATGAGAGGCAGGAGCCAGCAATTTATGGTGAGTAAAGCCAGAGTATAGACCTGTATTTTGGATTTTTCAATTTAAGTTCAACTTATCTAGTAAAAAAATGGCATCATTTTGAAAAATAGTGGTCAAAGTTAACCCATTTTACGGTACATCAATTAGATTAACTGATAAATGGATTTGTGGGAAGAAGAAAATATTCTTTACTGTTCATTTCTAAGAAGAAATGAATCAATTATTAAAGCATTTTATCTGGTTCATGTTTTAGATGAGCAAGGATGAAGTCTATACAGAGTACAGACTATACCTACTTACTAAAGACATCTTGATTCTTGAGACATGAGAAAGCAGACATCTGCAAATTTAGAGCTTGAAGGTTTATATTAACAAGCTAATAATGCATGAAAAAATTAATTTGATCTTTACATATCATCATGACTAATAGGATTAAAGTCAACTACAGATCTAAAGCAATGAAGTTGTTGAGTTGGACACTCAAGGAATAGATATCTAGACATAGATATTTCTTTGAGTTGGAATCTAGAGCATATTCATACATATACATAACATAATAGCATTATAGCAGATGACAGATGATCAATAGGCTACAGAAAACAGACCTAATGCATTTAAAAATTGCAGTGGCCAGTGTGTGACAAAAATTAAAACAGACACCAGGAAGCAATGGCCAATCAACATTCAACAGTTTAACACATGCTTGATTTTATTTTGAGAGTGATTGGATTTGGACCAGCAACTCTACACGAATGATGAATGCCACAATAATTTCAGTTTTCAAGGAACAGATTGAAACATTAAATCTGAGGCAATCAGGACAGGGCATGAAAATAAACGCATGATGCTGGACTTGCCTGGACATTCTAATCCTATCAATGTTATTAATGTTGTACATGATATGGAATGGATAAATATTTTTAATATTATTAAAGATACCTATATATTATTAATAACATTGTCATTATATGCTCAGCTCACACAGTCACACGGGCAAATTAGGTGATGCCCAAACTCCCAGTCTGATGCAAAGAAGGAAACTGAGGCTGTAATGTAAGATGATGTGATTGATGTCACCAAGTGACACAAACTTTATAGTTATCAACGTACAATAGGCTTAATGTGAATCCTAGGCAGACTCGGTAGTTGCTCATGAATAGTTGTCTGAGTGAGTAGGCTAACTCGCTAACACGTCTCATGAATAATGATAAAAAAAATCACCACGAGCACGCAATATAGAACTATACATATTATTTATCGATTTTCATATTACCTTAAAACGGCGTTACTTCTGGAAATAATGTAGGTTTGGCGATGGTCCAACCGTCCAATTAACCTTCCAATATGGTTGCACTTGCACAGCGCTTACAAGCCGACCTTGTGGGAAACGCGTCGAACATTTACTGATTTAAGGTACAAAGGCCGTAAACGTACAGCAGATATACATACGAAGAGAATTTCACTCAATTTATCCATCATTATAAATTTCAGACTGGAGGGAACTATTTAAAGCCTTCCAGGAATTAGCGACACTATGTTAGTAATTTAATTATTTTATTCCCTTTTCAGAAAAATATCTCATCATAAGCTCAAGAAATGCTATGATATAAATTATGGGAAAATAACATTTTGTTTAATCAAATATTGAGGATGAGAAAATTTCGTTTTCTCTTGTGATGCTCATTGATACATGTTATTGATTTTATATAATATCAACTTTTCAATCAATATGAATTTGTACTAGGTTATTTTTCAATTATTCTAGAACGGAACATTTCGTTAGCTGTTTAGAGCCCATTAGAATAGAAAAAACGTATTAATTATTCCTATTTCAAAGTGTGCAATGAAAAAAAGTCGAAATAGTGGCTTGGTCCAAACACAATGGACCTTTTCCCACATATTTTTGAAGAACTTATTACTGAGAAGTCATCCTTACTATATCATGATCGTCAAATAGTGTTGGTTTTTTCACGTTGTTCTGAAACTGTGGACATTTGAGTGTTGACGCGCTTATCAAACAATATTATGCAGTTTTCTATTAACATCAGATTTCCAATATTCGGTGAAGTAACAGAGACTGACGTATTGTTTATAAATGAAGATAAAGAAGATTATATATCAAGTCAATATAGAAGTCAAGTTTCAGCCGTGTTCGAGAGCGGACGCTCGTGTTTTGTGGTCCCAGATTTTCAACTTTTAACTTTTACTGTGCCGTTTTTAGAACTAATTTTGCATTTTTTATGAGCCAGTGAATGACTGAAGATTCAGTGAAAGAGAGTGCAAATAGAAAGAACAAACCTATAGTAAAAGTAAAAGGCAACAGGCCATGGGCCTATGTCTTCAACGCCGACACTTCTATTCTATTCTATTCTAAAAGTATTTTCATCTGAAATAACGCGATGTAGAGTCAGCGAGGGTCGCCAAGCAAGCGAGGGCAACGTGCACGGCCTCACCAGCGTAGAACAATTCAGCCCTTGTTTTATGTCCAAGCTCACCTCCTGTACCCTGAACACATTTACAACCGCTGACATCGCCACTTTCTAAAAGCCGCTTATTCTCAAATCTGTAACCGAGTTTTTACAGCACTTTGGAAACTTTATAATTTTTACTCAACTTGATTCATTTTTAACTTGTGTCTTTTTAGCTCTTGCATTTCATGATGGCTGGTCAGAGAGGAAAAAGATTAATTGAAAAGGCCTACACTCCTGTTAAACCGAATGCGAAGATCAAATCGCAAAATGAGCGTGGGGAAATTTGTAAATTTTGCAAGCTGGTATCGCTTAACGTCAAAGACGCTACAGTGGCCTGTGATCGTTGCGGCGATATCATCTGCAACAATTGTGCAAAGATTAGCAAGACAGGCTGCTCGGTTATTCGCAAAAACAAGTCTGTACACTGTTGCTGCCAGGACTGCCAACAACCTGCACTTAGCGCTGTAAAAAGCGAAAAGATGGTGGAAGAGAAGTGCTCTTCTATATTTTCTGTCTTTAAGGCCGAAATGGAAGAAACCAACAAGCAAGAGTTGAGAAAGAGAGCCGAAATGGAGGAGAACCACAAGAAAAAATTGAGCTTGTTGCGTAGCGAATTGCACTCGTTAAGAAACAAGCTGTTGGAAATGAAAGCTCATCTGCACAAAACAGGAAATAGCTATAACACAGAAGGTAAAGGCCGCAAGGAGGTCATCTCTAATCTCGCTAGCGAGAGCACTCGTGAACCGCTGGATAGAGAGAAGAAGGCTTAACCTTGTTTGGTTTAACGTTCCCGAAAGCAATGCTTCGGATGATGAATTTATTACTGATTGCTGTTCCAAGGCACTTAACGTCGTTGTGATTATAACGGCATGCAAGAGGCTGCGAACGAAAGACGCTACCAAGAAGGATGCTACATCTTTAGAGAGAGAAATTTTTCGCAAAAAATTGCAGGAGAGACTCAGGCGGGAAAGCATGGAGACTCAGGTCAACCACTTTCACGATTTCAAGACAACACCGGCCGCACACAGCCAGTCAGCGGAGCTGGAAGACAAGTAAGAAGTCATGTCCATAGATCCAGTCCTGTAAATAATGTAAGAAGTGAACGCATGCATCAAAGTGAAAGTGCACAAAAAACTTTAAAATGGTTTTACACGAACTCGGATTCCGTTTCGAAAAAATAAGTGAATTACACTCGTTTTCAACACTCGTTTTCAATAAGTGATTGAAAACGAGTGCATAGACATTATTTGTATTACAGAAACACTCCCTAAAAATCACGGGGGAAAATTGTACCTGTTGAATTTCAGTTGCCAGGTTTTGATTGTTTTCATAACTTGAATGAAGAGCAGTGCAGTAGAGGTTTAGCTTTGTAGGTTAGAACCTCTTATGGGGCCCAGCAAGTCAAGTTATCTGCAGAACATCAATAAGAGAATCAGAGAATTAGAATTAGAATTCATCAATTAGAGAATCAGTGTGGTGCGAACTTTCTCTCAAAGGCAAAGATAGCCTCCTCATAGGCGTCGTTTATAGATCACCAAACAGTTCTTCTGATAACGATAAAGTACTAAACAGTCTTTTACCGAGCATGACTTTCCGTAGGTCACACACGCTGATCGTTGGTGATTTTAATCATCCGGAACTAGACTGGATAGATGGATCTTCTCTGGATGGATGGAAGGGGAGAGAATCACCCAGCATCCTTGTTCATGGAGTCAGTAAGAGACTCCTTCTTAGTATAGCACGTTACCAAACCAACCCATTATAGAAGTAAACAGACTCCCAATATTCTAGACCTGGTGTTTACTAGTGATGAATCAATGTTAGATGAGCTTCGTCACGAGGCTCCATTGGGCAAAAGCCATCACCAATCATTGATTTTCAGACTCAAGTGCTGTACAGAAAAGACGCCTCGGAAGCGAGAGCGTTTGAATTTTGCGAAAGGCGACTATGATAAATTCCGTGAAGCAGTGAATGCAGTGAATATTTCGAACGGTATTATGGACATGAATGCGGCGGAGTCATGGTCATTTCTCAAAGACACGGTTATGTTTGTAGTTGATGCGTATGTACCTAAAATTAAGCTTGGTGGAGCCAAAAAAACTCGGTGGATGAACAGGTCAGTTTTAGCTAAGCTGAAAACAAAGAAGGAAGCATACGAGCGTTATTTACCGACTGGTAGCGATGCTGACTATAACCTATACGCAAGAGCTCGAAATCAAGCTGAAGAAAACTGTCACACCGCAGTAAAAACCCTCGAAAAAAGTATTGCTAAAAATGCAAAAAAAGAACCAGAAAACCTTTTTTTAGGCTAGCTCGAAGTGCAAGATGAAGGACGGTATTTCTGATTTGAAGTAGATCAACGAAAGATATCCTCTGATGAGGGCAAGGCTAACGTACTTAATCATTATTTCAGTGGCGTATTCACTGAAGAGGACTTAAACAGTATTCCAGCTATTGAGGAGCGCCCAGTCGGCTCTAAATTAACAAGTTTTGAAATACAAGAAGAAGAGGTTCTCAAACGCCTTATCGCTGTAAATCCAAATAAGTCATGCGGACAGGACAGCTTCCACCCCAGATTACTCAAAGAGTTAGCAATTGTCCTAGCCGGCCCTCTGACGTCATTTTTCGAAAGACTTTGAACGATGGAATGTTGCCGGCTGACTGGAAAGAAGCTCAAGTGACACCATTGTTCAAAAAAGGTGACAAATTAAGCTGCTCGGGCAACTATCGCCCTGTCAGTTTGACAAAATAAGTGTCGTTTGCAAGGTAATGGAATCTGTTGTGAGGGATCGATTGATAGATCATTTGACTGCTAATAATCTCCTATCAGACTGTCGACATGGCTTTATTGCCGGGAGATCCTGCACCACTAACCTCTTGTCTACTCTGAACGAATGGACCCGCCTGCTGGACGAACGGGAACCAGTAGATGCAGTGTACCGCGATTTGGCCAAGGCATTTGACAGTGTCCCACATGAGCGGCTGTTGCGTAAATTGAAGTCTTTGGGAATTGGGGGTAATGTACTCAAATGGATCAGAGATTTTCTAGTAGGGAGGCGACAACGTGTCGGCATTAATGGGCCCGCATCAGACTGGGCTTCAGTGCGCAACGGCGTGCCACAAGGAAGCGTTCTCGGGCCTATTCTATTCGTTGCGTTTATAAACGATCTGCCAGAAGCTGTTACTATAGCGTTTGCTTGATGTATGCTGACGACACAAAATTTATAATACAGTGAAGAATACGTCGCAAAAAGTACAGTTGCAAGGTGATCTTGACTCGCTAAGTGAACGTAAGTGCTTACATTCAATTTTCTTGTCAATGATTGGTGGATTTTGCTTGAAAGGCCGTCAATGATTGACTGACGAACTTACGATCCCTTAACTTTTTTGAAAGTATAGGCCCAGGCAATAAGTACAGCAGCTATATCAATCAATCGTCAGTTATGGAAAGATCGGGTTCCAAAGGCCGGATCCCTTGTGAATCAATTTTAGACGCATTATTTTAGAGGAAATAGTCCTAATTCATACTCTACCCCAAAAGATATAAAAGATCAGCGTTGTAACATCTGCTTGTGAAATGTTATTCATTAAGCAAGATTTAAAGTCAGTCAGAATATAAATTTTTCAATATATTTCATCTATTTATTATAGCTGTCCATAAAAATTATCCTCAAATTCTCCTACCTTTCTACTAAAGTCCACGGTAATGAAGATATATATTTCATTTATTTATTCACAAATTTTACTTCTACAATAATTTTTTTCAATTGCAAAAGCACTAGGAACATTTGTAATAAATTTGAGAAAATTAGTGCTAACATCACATGCATTATTGGTGATATTAGTTGCAATTCAAGCTACAATCAAGGTATCTGGATTCGCAACCGGCAAATGTGGCATATAATGGGAACATTGCTAGTAAATAAATGTCCTTCAAGATCGCACTATTAATATAATTAGCAGTATTACTGGCGTAATCACAAGCACCAGTATTAATAAATACAAGCAGCACTATTAATACCACGACTGATATCATACTCAACTTCAGTATTAATGCAAAAATCCTCATCCCTAATAAACTTCGGTTATATTCCAGAGAATTGCCTGCTATTTTCTTTACAAGATAACGCATGATGTGTTCATAACTGGGTCACCTATAACCATATGACCATAACCTGGTCACCTATAACCATGGACCAGAACCTGGTCACCTATAACCATGTGACCATAACCTGGTCACCTATAACCATGTGACCATAACCTGGTCACCTATAACCATGTGACCATAACCTGGTCACCTATAACCTGCGACCATATGTTAAAATTTATATTTAATTAAGTCATTATTTTTATGCGCTTATCGTTTGTCACGTTTTAGGAGGCAAAGTCGACGCTCGTTAGCTCGATCTTGTTATTATTACTTTAACCTTACCCGAGAGAAGACTCCTGCCCAAACAGTATAAATACGTATGTCAACTATTGCTTTTCTGTTACTTAATTTGAGTTTGTGCGAGTGTGTTTTCATTTTATTTTGTACCATTTAAATGCATGTTATAACTTCTATGTTTGCTCGCTTAAGATCTTGCTTAACTGGCTTTACGCCAGTGCTTGGAACCCGTAGGGAGCTTCGGTGTTAACCGATTATGTCACATGCCTTAGCGCTGTGAATTAACTTGCATGCTTGCATGCGCATAACTCCTTAAATTCGAGCGACCACTCCTATTACTGTTTTCACTATTTTCTTTCCTATAGTTCTCTACATGAGAACTCTTATCTAGGATTCCTCAACGGAAACAAATAGGTTTATTATTTTGATTATCTGAAACTGTGTTATCAATATTCAGATTTTACTTGAATCATACTGAAATTCACTCCGTTAAAACCTTGAATCTATTAATTTTAGGCCTAAGTTGGTTTTCTGTCTTATTCAGATAAGAATCCACCCAACCGCATCTACTTGGTCTTCGACTCTCTGTTCTGTTTTTTTTTTAATTGGACTACTCCTTGCTTATTACGTTCTGTTGCCACCGGCAATATGTGGTGAGAATTGGAGAGAGAGACATATTCACCTGAAACAGTGACTCATTCAACTGAAATTAAATATTGTGTTCTAGACTCCTAACGTTCGAACTTGTACTTATGTGCGAACGTATTCTACTACAGTGCACGAGTTCCTCATCGCGCTTCGTGCTTCTCGTTTCCTCCAGGCTTCGTTCTGCGAACCAATTCTCTTTTCGGAACTACAACAATAAAAGTTTCAACCTTTCTTTGTTCTTTAATTTCCAATTGTACCAAAATTCAATACATAAACTGTGACCGTAACCTGATGTGACCATAACCTGTGACCATAACCTCTGACCATAACCTGATGTGACCATAACCTGATTACCTATAACCATGTGACCATAACCTGATGTGACCATAACCTGGTCACATATAACCATGTAACCATAACTTGTGACCCTAACCGCTGACCATAACCTGATGTGACCATAATCTGGTCACCAATAACCATGTGACCATAACCTGTAACTATAACCTGATGTGACCATAACCTGTGGCCATAACCTGTGACCATAACTTCATGGTACGTCCATAAAGATCCCGATTTCGTGCCCGGATTCTTAATCGGCACCCAGAAAATTGAGAGGTTCTCTGTCTAAATAACAATGCACGTTTTGCCTTCATGTGAGTCATCCTGACTCAGTTTGGCTGGGCAAAAAAGAGTAACAGAGCCGCATCCGCTCACTCCTTAGACTTTAGGTATTAAAGTGCATAATAAGTGTTGAGGCTTCTCGTACACATCTGATTCCATCCCATAATGCTGTAATAGGAGGTGTCGTCAGGAGCCAATGTCATTCACTAGACAGAACGATTATAGACTTACGACACTACGCAACCTATGAATTCGCTTTTGTTTCGTTTAGATTATTACCCATTTGAAATTTACCCCAGTTCCTCCGATGATTCGGTGAGCTAATTTAGTTTGATCTATTTCTTTTGTATGTTATTATTCTTGAACCATATTGTTGAATACCACGTTATTCGTTTATCTCGCATTACAAAATTGTCGTTCTTTTATGCGCAGAAACTCACCATCAATAAACGTGATAAAAGTGTCGAATCATCTCATTTTCACGAAACTTTGGGGAAACCTTTATAATAAGTATATAATAACACATTTGAGTGCATCAATAAATAATCGATCATGTGATTGAGATAACAATTACGAAAGAGTACACTCAGGTCCTCAATGATACATTTTATATTAATATTAATGACATATACATGACCAATTGACGACATCAAAGCAGGAATCTCGATTAACTGCGACCACTACACTTGAAGATACTAAAGCGCGCGTCTCTTGTTGAAGTGGTTAGCGATAATCAGGCGAAGTGAATAACAGCATCTAAGAACCTAATATTGCGCTGGAATTTGTTTTAATTCTAATAGTGAATGTTTTCTTCTCGCATAGCTACTGTTCGTTCGAATGAAAATTTTTGTTAAATCTTCAATAAATTTCATTATATTGAGGAAATATTAACTCTGCATGACCGCTTCCCTGTTACATAACTCACGCGTCGGCAATACGCTACGAAAAGTCAATACGAAATTAAACTTTAAAATCGATTGAAAAAATCTAAGACACTATTGATAGAAAATTTATTCATTTAGTGATTAATCAAAGATTATTTGAAAAAAAAAATTAATTTATTTTATAGTAGAAAACAGTAAGTGGTAGAAATAGCGATTATGAACTTATTGATGGAAATACCACCTTCGTTCATGCACAAAAATAACCTCGAAAGAACCTGTTTTTTATGATTGTTGATATGAGTATTATTTCCTGGGCTGTATCAGTATTGAGTGTGGAAACTAATAGAAATAAAGTTATTGGTCGTGGGTGTCGCTTACAGTTCTTCGAGTGGGCCTTATCAGTCATATCGTGCGTTATACTGTACCTCGACTGGTATGCCTTGGTTGTATCACGACTAGGAATACTGATGAGATAGCGGCCATTATTAGTCCTTAAAACAATAACGTAACCTTAAAGGTTTACAGTCCTAATTGCGTAAGCTTAAATAATTAAGACTTTAATTCTTAAAGCCAAATGTTTCGTTTTGCACTTCTAGTGTTCAATGTGCTTTATTGGATAAAGGCGAAACGCAGTCTGTTGTTTTTGCTCACATTAGAAATTTAAAAGCTAAGAAAATTCACCACAAATTCACCATATCTCCATTGCAAACGTTCCTAATTCTAGCTTCATGGACAGTTAGAAAAATCTAGAACACAGATAAAAATATGAAGTTAAAACAGTCGATGATAAAACCAAACATCGAAGTTAAAACCTAAACCTACAAACAAGCGACGGAGCAAGAAATAAAAATAACGGCAAAACCGATCTATTACTTGTTTAAGGTTGTTGTTGAAAACCGGTAATTGATTGTTAAAATTAATCCAGGTATCGTAAGATATTTTTTATGCTTTTATTTAAATGTTTTAATGTGTTTAGAAGCAATAAGTTGCATTAGGCTTATTGTAAGGTGATGCAATGTTCTTTTAAATTTAGATTAGTACCGGTATTAGATTAGTGCACTGTCGTTAGAGGCCCATTTCAGCAGAGTGTGTGTAACCATTTATTGATTGTTGAATGTACCCTTTTATTGTTAAATTAAATGTAACCAAACATTGTTTGTTGAATGTATCCAACTACCATTAAGAGTTTAGCAAGCTGTAGTTTGATGGATGTGCTCTAATAGCGACAAGCTGCCTGAATGCATTCTTCTTTTTGTATATTAACTCTGATGATGTCATTCATATTTGATAACGATGAGAGCAATGAGTTCAGCGTGCGTAATTAGAATCGTGAAGAGGTTTGGGCGATAAGAACTGAAACAGGAATGGTGCAGCAGTTGAGACTCATCAACAGATTGTATCATCAGTCAAGCCGCCGTTCCCGAACTTGTGATAAGATAAGTAAGGGAAACTCGATCGTCTATATAACCTGCATGCCTTCTTTCATCGACATTACTAATACAACTGCTTCAATTCCACCTGCTTTCGTTTGTTAGGAAAAACTGATCACTCACTAGCTGTTATAAATTGACAGAAACTTTAATTGTTCAGGAACAGATACCCTTAGTTGAACAGTTTAAAAGTGCCGTCTAGATAGGTAGCATTGCAACCATGTAAGTAAACCCATTCAATCCCCAGGAAAAATCCCTTTAAATGAAGTGTTTAAATTAAAAATCATTAGAAAATTCGATAGAAAAATTGATAGAAAATACGCTGCAATATAGGTACAAGTGACACGAAAGTGTAAGAAAAATAATTATCATATGACACTATAGACGGTATATAATTTATTATCAAAGCGATTTCTAACCAAAAAAAATCACATAATTACCATTTTACGAATAAAAAAAAGCAATTGAGTTACTAAATGCAACATGGATTTGTCGATGAAGAACGGCAAGAAGTTGCGCCTCGAAGACTTTCTTCTTCAGAACCTAGACGCTGCACCGGCCCCCCGAGTGATCGAGTGGGTCGACAGAGACGCGGGTGTGTTTAGGGTGCTATGGACCCACCAGAGCAGCGGGGCCTTCCACCACGACGATGCGGCCCTCTTCCGATACTGGGCCCTGGCCCGAGGTGGGGCATATCACTAGTAAATTCACTAGTATATAAATAATTCACCAGTAAATTTTACGTCACTGGTATATTAGAAATTCATTAGTTTATAAATTATTCACTAGTACATAAATATTCCACTAGTATTTAAATAAGTCACTAGTAAGTAAATAATTCACTGGTATATAAAAATGTTTCACTAGTATATGAATAATTCACTAGAATATAAATAATACAATAGTATATAAATATTTCACTAGTATATAACTAATTCACTAGTAACTGAACAGCGTGTATCAGTAAAGATTACATAGTGATATATGAAAGTACTGTTAAGCCCATGTTTTGAAATGTTATTTGAACAGCTCCACCAAAAAGCAATTTGTTTCTGCATTAAAAGTTACACAAATCAAATAAAATTTGCCGAGCTCATAATTCCATGTTGCTCGCCCCCAATGATGTCGTTCAGTCACATGTCGTTTACATTCATCGCCATGCTTCAAAGAACCATGCGCGATCACAACATAACCAATATCTGCCAACAATTTTTCCTCTCTCTCTCTCCCGACACGCATAGACAGTATGTGAATGAAATCATGCTGTACTAGTCACTGCTTCTTTTGACTAACACATAATCTACCGTAGCCATCAGAATTGTTTGAAATTTATCCAGATTTGGGCAAGTAATTCATGGGCATCACTGAAAATGAAATTTTTCTATATAATATAAAAACGTGCAAAATGAATTACGGTATCGCAAGATTTTTTTTATGGCTTCATTTGAATTTTCGACGTGTTTAGAAGCGAAAGTTTCATGAGGATCATTGCAGGGGAGTAGTAAGGGTATGCAATATTCTTGTAAACATCAGAATAGTATTTCTCATTTAGGTTTTCTGTCACCACCTCAGACGTTACCTCGGTAGGGATCCGTAACACGTGGTCACTCTGGTTTGTGATTGCACCACCGAGGTGCGAAGTTCTTTTATTCAGAGTTATTTTTAGTGTTACCTGTGCCTGGTGTTATGTTTTGATTGACGTTTTAGTGTATATTCGTAGTTAAATTATGCCTGTATCTTATGTCGTCCGTGCTATATTTCTGCGTTTATTATTTTATTTATTTCATTGGTTCTAATTTTGTATTTTCGTTTTGTGTGTGCAGAAAGGCTCCGAAATAATGACTTGAAATGATAATCAGTGTAAATCGGTAGTTGGTCTGAAGAAAGCGTACTCTTTTAATTTTTTTTTGTACCTAATGATAGGTTGTTTCAATTATTATTTTTGTTTATTTATTAAGTTGCATTCATTCTTCTTTTGCTGGCGATAATTTATACAACACGTTCATACGTAAATGTCTGGGGCCACTGGCAGCTATATTTTAATATCAATTATTTATCGAATGGGTACCGTAATTGGGCCCAGTATTTGTCGAATGGGACCAGGCATGATGGCCCAGTAGTTACAGTTCAGATCGAGTACCAGGATTGGCGCAGTGAGGTGCGGGTTCGATCCCAGCTTTGTGCACCAGTTTCTGGTGAGAATCGGCGAGGAAGCCGGGCGGTTGAGCAAAGCAAAATGGCAGCAGTGAGTTGCGTGTTTGAGACCACAACAACCTGTGAATGTTCTGCGATGTTAAGAATCGGCAACAGGCCTACAGCTTAATAAACGCTGAAACTGCTCTTATTATTATTTATTTTTATTATCACTCCAGGCAAATGGCCGCTGCCGTCTTCAGTGGAGCTGAAGCAGAGTCTGCGTATGGCGCTCAATAAATCTCCGTCGGTGAGTCGACTGCCGGCCAACGCTTCTGCACCTGACTACAGATACTTCCGCTTTGTCGGTACGTCCAGCATTATTTATTATTATTACAAATAACAGCATTATTATTACAGATACTTGTACTGAGTTGGATTTACTCAATGTCCCACAACTTGAAAAATAAAAAGGTGTCATGCAATTTCCCCATTCGAATTTACGAAATTGTTATAGAGTAATAATGAAAAGACAATATAGTATTTCAAGTGACTGTATGTTGTTTCATCTTGGAGTGCCAAGATAGACGCATTAAGTGACTTGATTGATACAGCTGAGGGAGTGCAGAACAACTTTGCTGTTCCTACAAATCATATGAGACATCTGCTAAACAATTTTTTTTTGTTCTTACAGATGGCATTAAACTGCTGCATAACAGATTAGTTGCTGGTAAAGATCGCTTCATACAGCTGCTAAAAAAGCTTTGTTGTTCCTACAGATAAATCACGATTGAAACACAAGCGGAGCAAGCAGTCGTCAATTCACAGCTGTGGCTCCGACTCCAAGCAGTTCCAATATCATCTACAGGAGTACCCGTTAAATCTTTCTCTCCATTCAACCAAAGAAAACTTTTATGGGAGCCAAAAACTCAAGGAAGAGTACCGGGAATTGTCCGATTTCACAGGGAATGATCAAGGTTATGTAAATAATTTTCAATGTTTCGAGAAACGTGCAATAATTAACGAAGATGTATGCATCGAAGATCAAAGCATTGAGTGTAAGGTTGGATGTTGTGATTACGTGATTCAAAGTAACAGCCAAAATAAAAATCTTCATTGCCTGGCAAATGATATTTCTCTGGTGAGAAACGGAGAAAATTTTTCAGCTTATGGAACTGACTATAACGATTATAACGTAGACATTTGGAAAAATATAAATTACAAACATGAAAGCGTAAACTGCGGTAATGATTTCTCTAATTGGAATGATTTATCGATAAAAGTTGACGTTCACGAGGCTCATATTTTTGACAATCGTATTCGAAAACAATGTGAAGAACAGGTGCAGGACTTGGTCCCTGAGTACAGTTCCCGTTATCATGGAACAATCGAGAGCAATTGCGTTAGTCACGAGTCTGGTTATTGCTTTTCAGATAACTTTGATTATATAAATATCAATAAACATCACTAATCTATATTGAATGATTTGTCAATAATTGAATAATATTGAATGATTTGTCTTGTGCACTAGCTTGATGAATGTGGTCACTAAAGCCATGACCGATGTTTGACGACTCTAAAAGTCATAGGAACACATAGTGGTGACCTTGTACGAAAACTTTATTGAACTTCCGTATTTCAGACAAACTGTAAGCATGAGGTTAGAAAAATCTATAGTATCGTAAACGTATCTTCAGCCTATAGAAATTTTATTTAAATCCATTTTCAGTTATAGCAAAGGATTAATCCATAGATTTGATTAGCATCTAACTTGATCCCTTTACATAAGGTCATAATAATGTAAAATTTTCAATTTATAATTCAGTCATAATAATGTGAAACATGAGCCTATCTAGCCACGGTTTAACGATCGTCCTCATTATTCGTGATGGAATCCCGTTCATGATTTTCAGAGGTGGGCAGTAGCGCGCTGCATGTAGCGGTAGCGGCGCTACATTTAAGCAATTGTAGCGGTAGCGGCAGCGGTAGCGCCCGCTACATATTTAAGTAGCGATACGAAGTTTTGCCGCTACAGCGCTAAGGCTACATTTATAGATAAAGCCTTTAGATTTTACTTAATAGTATTAAATATTATTTAAAAACCATCATGATACGTACATAATATAAATTACAGAATAAAACTATACGAAAGATTTCGGTGTAATGTTGTCAACCTCAGCCTGTTACTAGTGTTAACATGTTAGTTGTTACCAGAGGTGGGCAGTAGCGCGCTACATGTAGCGGCCGCTACATTTTCAATAGCGGCGCTACATTTATGCAATTGTAGCGGTAGCGGTAGCGCCCGCTACATTTAGAGCATGTAGAGGTAGCGGTAGCGGCCGCTACATTTCAAAGTAGCGCTGCCCAGCTCTGATAATTTTACAAGACCATATGAATCCATGGCAAACTATAGTAAAATATTACTAGGTATTACTTCGTGCTAGATTCTTCATTGTTTTATTGTCGATTTTATCTATTTTTACCAAGATTAAAAATGCGTATGTTTGAGACGAAATGCTATTATTTTCGTTCTCTGCTTGGAATTTTCGTGATGAAAAAAATTTCTGCATTAATTTACTGTATAAAGTTTGATCGGATTTATTCGATTACTTTTTTAGAGACAGAGAAATGGAAGAGAGCAGCAGGATTTCTTGAAATAACCACGAAAATTCATGTTTGAACTTATGTTTCGTTTATATAATATTATTGATTATTAGTTTACTTATAAGACACAGAATCTCCATGAAGAAGAATTTGGTAACAATTATTGTTTCAATATTACTTATAATAGAACTGTAAGGTATGTATTTTATAATTCTGAAAACATATATTTTTTAAGACTTAATAGAATGATAAAAGTCATTGAAAATAAAATTTTATTTGTGATTTTCTTCGGCTTAATACCCAATTCAGGAAGGACTTAAACCACACATCTGAAGTTACTACAGTCAATACGTAAGTTCATTTGCGACATGTATTATTAAAACACGTTATTCAGGAGCGACTATACATCCAATCAGGTGAAATTTATACTCTAACTGTGCGGCGTATTATGAATGAAATCTCCCAATTTGGGGTAAATCCAATTTATTTTGAGGAAAAAGAGGGCTAATTCAGAAACGACTAAACTCACATATCTGAAATTTATATTCCTGCTCAAGAATGGCATGAACCAATTTGTGGAGTTTTGTTAAAATTCGTTTTTATTTGCGACATTAATTGACCTAATTTTCAATCTATAGGTGACTCACAGCGCAAATTTAAAATTCATCCAAAGTGCATGAATATAAGGGATAAAATTATTGAGAATATTGAAAATTTATGATGTTTGCCATAGTTGTTTGCTAAATAACTGTTTCATAAACGACTACAATCTTAAATATGGAGTTTATACAGTATCTAACCTTTAGGTATATAATGTAGGATATGTATATTTCTCTAGTTTGAGGGAATTGAATGATTTTATCTGAATTTTGTATTGCATAGATTGGTTTGATTGATTATTTTAATAATTTCTTTCTGCTGAAGGAAACACCTTTGTATTCCAACATGAATGGTTAGTTAAACTTTCCCATCCCACAGTAGCCTGTTTATCTGCTGTATTCGTGAATGCCATTTCTAAATTTTTGGTACATTCATCACTCAATGGTGCTCCACTTTCAGAAACTCTTTATTCATAAATCTATTCACGTAAGAAATGAAAAATTTTGGGATTGCCGAGTAAATATATGTTTGAATACTTGAATTTAATAAATTAAAAAGTGTGCATTTTTTCTCACATACACTTCGTGAACTTTTACGCGGGATAAAGTAACTTAAATGCAGCAGTATTTCTATTGCATTTGAATAAACTAAATTTACTCGGGTTTTTGAAAGAAGCAGCGAAGTACAAATTATTTATTTGCACACTAAAGATAAAAAAGGTTAACATCAGGACACAATAGCAGAATTGAATTACCTGAATTATGAAGCTTTATAACCCGACTGTATGAATGCCGGAGCTAAGCATGTTGGACCCATGTATAACTAACACATGGTTTTAGTTCCAATATGGGTGAACCATTTACAATTATTGATGTAACCACGTTATCGGACGATATCTCTAAGTCTCATTCGGGTGCACATTGTGACACAGGCCCTTGTAAGTAATTTTTTATTTTAATGTAGCTGCACCTCATTCGGGTGTATATTGTAACGGCGGTAAGGATGTTTTTTTTGAGTGACAGGATTACGTACGTTTGCCCTCGCTACGATTTCATCTCGTCTATCTGAGGAATACGTCTCTGTAGTTATCGTGCAAATATTTCCAAAAATGTATGAATTTCATTTCATAATTTTACACAAATTTCGACCCATTTTCACGCTCAGTTAACTCATTTTCATATTGTTATTGTTACTAATGTTTTTCCACTTTTCAAAACTATTTGATAACTTCTTCACAAATTGCTATTATATTATTATTATTTCTTGCTCGCTTTGCCCTTTTCATGCGGACCAGTTTATCGTACTGATCATTCTCATACAATATTAATATAATTATTCTCCCCGTTACATGCCATAATTTAGAATAATATTCTAACATGATTCTTCATGTCATTTTGCAATTCCAAAGAATCTTTGCAGGGAGACGCTATTGATGTCTATAATAACTTACAGAACTTCGGAACTGCGTTCACAGCAATAAGGCCTATGCGATTATTTTTTATTTTCATGACTACAGAGTTCATTAAGAGGGAATCGACTTGTATCGAGACGCGCGTTGAAATAAAACCATGTTAATTGCTTATAGGTAGTATAGACACTACAAATAATCGACTTTACATATAGTAATATAAGCATACATATAATAGTATTTTTATATTACGATTGCTATACCTATTCACACCGTGAATCCCGATTAATTTTTTACCCTTTATTTACTCTCATGGCAGGTCTTGGAAATTATTTCATGCATACTTAGGACACCAGCATTCATTTTTTCCCTCGTCCACCCTAACACTCTCGTCCGCCCTTACACTTTCCCCTCGTCCACCCTCACACTTTTCCCTCGCCCACCCTCACACTTTTCCCTCGCCTTCCCTAACACTTTCCCCTCGTCCTCCCTCAAACTTTTCCCTCGTCCACACTCACACTTTTCCCTCGTCCACACTCACACTTTTCCCTCGTCTTCCCTAACACTTTTCCCTCGTCCACACTGACACTTTTCCCTCGTCCACACTCACACTTTTCCCTCGTCCACTCTCACACTTTTCCCTCATCTACACTCACACTTTTCCCTTGTACACCTCACGAGGAACACACTCGTGTCATGTATAAGATGTTTTATATATATTTAGTTTCACTCGAATAATCTGCATTGAACAGCGCTTACGATTTAATTTTGCGATAATTCAAGCCTCAATAATCAATGGAGATAACCAAGTGCATCACCAATTCTCTCCCCTCTGAAAAATTTGTGGAACCTTATCACAAACTTTTTGACGTTGAATAAGTGAATAAGCGACTTGTAATGAGTTCATAAATTAAAAATTTCATGAAATAGCATTTGCATCATAGGTGGATGAGTTTAAAAATTTCATAGGATATCCGGTGGGTAATTTTGACGAGCATATAGTGAATATAGTGACTAGTTAATAACAATGCAAATATTTATGGAAGGCTTTGACTATTATATGCTTAGAGCGTATTTAAAGAATAGTGCCTTAAAATTCAGTTTAAGCTTTATATTTGCTAGGGTAAACAATACTTATTTATGATAAATGTAATCGTATAAAATTCAACTAAAGAATCGTAAATATTGAAGATATTGTAAACATTGTTGTGAATTATTTTTATACGAGTGTCACTGATTTAAAATGTTGCATATAAGCTGGTAAATAGAGATACACGTAGTATCATGATGACCGGGTGGCTCATTCAAGCTCCTCTGTCAAGTCGCTGAACCTGAAAGATTGATGAAAAACGATTAATTATAGTCGCAAAATCTAAATCTTTACAATACGTGCACTTCAAATTTTGATAAACAAATGAAAAATAAAACGTTTGTTCAGTCGAAGCTTCAGGCGTATTGTAAAATGTGGAAATTTACTAAGAGGGTTACATTAATTAAGTGTACCTGATGCCATCGGCAAATAATTGAGTACATCAGTGCAATATACATGTATAAAGGTAAGCACATTTGCCCAAATAGATCATAGAAAATGCTCAAATAGACACGCTTGTATCAAAATGACGGATTATGATAATAGATAACAATATTATTTATATTGCATATTGAGCATCGAAAGAAACACATCATATTATGATATCAAATTTTATTGAAAGGCACAAGTGGGCTTGAATTAACTGTTTGAGCTGAACATAGATAAATATTTGATGTAGATAATGGTTCACATCAGGATTGCAAATATTGGTAAGTTTCTGATTCTACGTACGTATCAGCCTTTCTTGCTGTTATTTGTTTCTGTATTATTTATAATAGACATGTCTTCTGAGAGGATACATTTAGACGGCTAGTGTTACAAAGCCTTTGTGTCTCTATGAATCTTTTCAAAGTAATTGTAAAGCATAAATATTCTTTGGGTTTTTGTGTACGTATGGAGCTCGCTTAATATTTAAAGCAGCTGTCAGCAGTGATTTTATGGCTATTTTCAACCAAATTGCAAGTTATTTATTGCATGGATAAAATTACATCGCAAAAAATTTACAAAAAACGTCCTTCGAGCTCCATGTTCACGCCTGAGTCAGTAAAAACTTGATCTCAAACGGAGCAATTTCCACTTACTCATTTTGTTGTCACAACCGTCACTATTCTCAACGTTTCCAATAGGCCTTTTGTTTTAAACCACAGTCAAATATATCATGATTCTCCAAAAATAAAATTATTTAAAATAAGTCAAGTGATCGTGGGCCGCAAATTGTGCTTGTGTGATGCCCAAACGTCCAAGGTGACCAGCCTGAAAGGCTCTCTGCATTATATGACTAGACCAACGTAACTTTTTTCCTACATCCTTACTCCTGCCACAATATGTCAGAGAAGCATATTTTTTATTAGTTATTAAAAAAGCGGTGCATAAGCATTTTGAACATAACATGAGAACAGGCTTACCTTTTACCAGCATATTGATCGTGCACACGACTGGATCCAACATGCTAAGCCATGATCCATCGCGGCGTGTTCCGTCAACACCTGGTAATTAGCATGCGGTGTGGGAAGCTAGTCAAATCAAATACAGAAAATTTAGAGACAAAATTTTACAAGCAAATAAATGCAGCAAAAAAATGGTAAACTTTTAATTGTCAATAATAAGATAATTACCTTGCGGAGGGAAGCTATATGCCCGCATTTGTACAGTCTCAGGGTAAAGGTTCGCTCCTCGAAGCTCTCGAAAAATGCAAAATAATCAGACGGCTGTTTCAACCAAATCTGGATCATTGAAAATAATTGGTAAATGGGAATCAAGATTTAGCAATGCTGTCGTTTTAGCAGAGGAAGAAGAAGATGAAGTGTCAAGTGAATCAGAGACTTCATTGTATACCACCAACCTCACGACGCTGTCTCTTTTCTTCAACCTAGCTAATGGCGGACCCCTTCTCGCACTTTGGTCGTTTAACTTTCTTCTGGCGCTCCCAGTTTTACATCCTGCATCGCTATGTGTTGTTGCATCTCTACTAGTTTGGACCTCTTGATTGGCATCTTTCTTTATCACAGAAAATTGGGTTTGGTCGGATAGATTGGTCGTCGCTTCATATCCAGATTTCAGAGACAGTTCAGGTGATATCGCTTGTTCATCTCGAGTCTTGTAAGACTGGTCGGGAGACTTCGATGCTTCTTTGTTTTCGTTGCAGGACTCCAAAGAACCTCGAGGCTCGGTGGCTGTTAAGACCTCTCGACCTGAGATCGGCTTTAAGTCGTTGGTAATTTTCCCATCGTCTTTTTCATGGATCTCTGCTCAGAACAGTAATATTAAAATTTTTCAGCTTAATTAGTAATCTCTCAGTGAAACTTTTATCGGAAAACATAGTAATGATGATTGTCTTCGTATAAAAATTATTTTAAATTCTAAATAATAACACGGTCATGTTGATGAATTGCTTGTTTATTCAAATGTTTAATATAATTTAATTTTCAAAAGCTTTCCAATTCATTTATCATCAATTTGTCAAACGGCCCGATAAAACAGTAGAAAGTCATATTTACCATGAAAGTGCATGTATTTTACGAATGGACTAAATCTTAAAAATTATGACCATGTTAATTATTTACGTTTTATCATTTTGTCCCGATCATTCCATGTTCTACCTAGTGACGCAAACAATGTCTACCTCTCAGCTTGCGGACCCGTACTTTCAGTCTCCAACCTACAAGTTATTAAACCAAAACTACCAAAACAGTCGTGAGCCTTCAAAAACACAATTAAACATGGAAATGTAAAAAATTGTTCGTTCTAGCTTGGGCAAATGAAATAATTACTTTAACCTAGTTACCCATAAACTCGTTTCATATCAGCTCATGAACCACAAATTGTCTTTATCCTATTGAACCCTAATGTGTAGTCATCTCACCCCCATGAATCACAAACTGTCTTTATTTTCCATTGAGAAACTTAACGTGTTTAATCTAATTCCACGAACCACAAACTGTCTTATTCTATACTTGTGAACCATACAACGTCCAAACTTACCAGCGAACCACAAACTGTCTTGATCTATCCTTGTGAACCATAACAACGTCCAATGTTACCCAGAGAACCACAAACTGTCTTGATCTATCCGTATGAACCATATACTGTATAACGTCTAATCTTACCCACGAACCACAAACTGTCTTGATCGATCCGTGTGAACCATATAACGTCTAATGTTACCCAGGGAACGACAAACTGTCTTGATCTATCCGTGTGAACCATATAATGTCTAATGTTACCCAGGGAACGACAAACTGTCTTGATCTATCCGTGTGAACCATATAACGTCTAATGTTATCCAGGGAACGGCAAACTGTCTTGATCTATATCCGTGTGAACCATATAACGTCTAATGTTTCCCAGTGAACCACAAATTGTCTCCGTCTCACTCTAAAACTCTTCACTGCGTGCCCCGCACCTGGGTCGGAGAGGGTGCCGTGGCAAGGCCGCCACGACTGAGCGCGGCTGCTGGTGCGGTCGCCGTCGCAGGGCCGGGCGTCGGCGCTGTACCGGCGCTGCGCGACGCTCGGCCGTCTTCGGTCCCCGGGCATGAGCATTGAGGGGCCGAGGCTGCGCTGCTGCTCTTGCTGCTCCGTCAGCGAGTATAGCTTAGTTGTGACGTCACGACCTGTCAATAGAATCAATGCATGACTGGGGATAATGACTGAGGATACTGACTGGGAATGGATTAATTAAAAAATAGGGATGTTTTATAATGGATCACTGAAGATGTTTTTTTTTGTGACTGTGTATCTCGATATGAAGGTTTTGGATGAAGAAAACTGTTCCTTAATCTAAACCATAATGAAATTTGAAGCAATGGTTTCCTCATGTTGAGGCGGCTGAATGCGGATGCAGCAAACCTAAAGTCGTTTCTGTCTGAAGTGGGACAGGCCTGGGCAGATTAAAAGACTTGATTGCGAAACAATTCGGAGCAACAGTGAGTGTACCGAAATAGGAAGAACACCCACAAGACTACCAACCCAATAGAATACTGTTCACCCAAAGATCTTCCACTCACCCACAAGGCTGGTCAGAACGGCAGCGAGGCTAGGCTCGTCAGCCAGGAGGCTGATCAGCTTCGGGCGCTGCCATACAAGCAGCGCACAGTCCTCTTCACTCACCACCGTCACCTGCGATCATAATAACGTAAACTGCTACGACCGTGGTTTCAATATATCGAAGATTTAATTGCGGGCATTAGGAGCACATTATAAATATCAGTACAAACTTGTACGGCCGTGGTTTCAATATATCGAAGATTTAATTGCGTAAATTAGGAGCACATTATCAATATCAGTACACACTTCTACGGCCGCGGTTTTAGTATATGTCAAAGATTTAATTGCGTGAATTAAGAGCACATTATCAATATCAGTACAAACTCCTACGGCCGTGGCTTTAGGATATCGAAGATTTAATCGCGTAAATTAGGAGCAGATTATCAATATTAGTACAAACTTCTACGGCCGGGTTTTTGGTATATCGAAGATTTAATCGCGTAAATTAGGAGCAGATTATCAATATTAGTATTGTTTTAGTCTAGTTTTGAGCATCATACAGTGCCAGCATCAATTTTGTGTAAAACTCCTAAAGTATGAATGTCCATTTAACAATTATAGGAGATCGTCTTATTGTGTATGTTTGCAAATCTAATTGCATTCTTTCATAAATAATAACTGCATGCGTTCTGCAATGCTTCTCAATGATCGTCTCTCTCATTTAAGTTTGCGCATTAAACAAGCACAAAAATACTCTCAATATAAAAAATTTCCTGAGTGACAGTGCCTGTAAAGTAGAAGGTTGATACGAAGAACTCAAAAATTAATGAGTAATATTGTCCAAATAGTGATATACTTTTTGCACGTAGAACGGATACCGATAAGCCCATTGCTGGGCCAAATTGGGTAAGGATGGCCTACATAAGCGCAAATAGTGTATCGTTATTGGAAAAATCGTTCATTTCTCTGATTGTAGTAGTACGTGTACATCCATTTCACAACAACTGTAATAAACATACCGAAGAAATTGAATGTAAATTAACCGAGAGCAGTGATACGTAAAGTTTCACCACAACTGTAATAAACAACCGGGAATACGGGAATAGAATTAAATGCCAATAACCGATAGCAGCGATAAGCACAGTTTCACAACAGCTGTAATAAACATAACAAAATAATTAAACGTAAATTATCGAGAGCAGCGATACGTGCAGTTTCACAACAACTGTAATAAACATAACAAAATAATTAAGTGTAAATAACCGAGGGCAGCGGTACTTTCAGTTTCACAACAACTGTTATAAACACAATAAAATAATTAAATGTAAATAACCGAGGGCAGCGATACGTACAGTTTCACAACAGCTGTAATAAACATAACAAAATTATTAAACGTAAATAACCGAGAGTAGCGATACGTACAGTTTCACAACAATTGTAATGAACACAACAAAATAATTAAATGTAAATAACCGAGAGCAGCGATACGTTCAGTTTCACAACAGTTGTAATAAACATACATAAGAATTGAATGTAAATATCCGAGAGCAGCCATACGTGCAGTTTCACAACTGTGATAAACATACCATAGGAATTTAATGCCAATAACCGAGAGCAGCGATAGTACAGTTTAACAACTGTGTAAATGTACCAAAATAATTGAATTCAAATAACCGAATGCAGCCATACGTACAGTTGAAAAACAACTGTAATAAACATACTAAAAGAATTGAATATAAATAACCTGGAAATATTGGGCCGGGCAGTCGAGCAGCTGCCTGGCCTCCCACTCGGGGCTGTCCACGAACTGATTGGGGAAGACGTAGTGCAGGTGCGTAGAGTCGCAGCTCACGCTCAACCTGAGTGAAACACACGTCAAGATTTTAATTATAACAATTGTTACAACACAAGAACTTCGATTACGTAACTTTTATTTGGAAAGTTACTGCATTTCATTGCATTTGTATTTTAATTGACGCCAATTGCCATGCGTGCAGTATGGTGCTGCAACGAATGGCCTTACGTGAGTAGTGTCACGACTCACCGTCCCGTGAGCAGGACGGCCAGACGGGTGGCGACGGGTGTGACTCACCGTCCCGTGAGCAGGACGGCCAGACGGGTGGCGGCGGGTGTGACTCACCGTCCCGTGAGCAGGACGGCTAGACGGGTGGCGGCGGGTGTGACTCACCGTCCCGTGAGCAGGACGGCCAGACGGGTGGAGGCGAGTGTGACTCACCGTCCCGTGAGCAGGACGGCCAGACGGGTGGCGGCGGGTGTGACTCACCGTCCCGTGAGCAGGACGGCCAGACGGGTGGCGGCGGGTGTGACGTCCTCTTCTGCGTAAATGTGTCCCGTCGGCAGACGTACGACCCGTCCCTCCCGTGCCAGCTGCACGAACGTCGTGCGCGAGACCTGCACGATCACGCGTGACACTTACCCCTCTACCGCCTGACTTGAGTAATCGGAGCAATATTGTCACAAGCCTACATACCCAAAAAGGTTACGTAGCTAGTGAGCGCAAAATGACTTGCACTGATGGTTGCCGCCACGTACGACAACTTTAAAATGTTCTCTGTTGCGTACAAACGTCCTCAGGTTACTACACTCAAAAGTTTACGTATGATTTAAGTTGAAAGTTATGTTCCCGGAGAGTGACATACGGCGGTAGAGTGTTAAGACGTCGGGTAGGCCATGGATCGTTAGTGGATTCTGACAATGCATAAGAGGTCCTATGCTCGCAGATAACTTTTAATTTGTATAATCGAAAATCATGGCATTTGAGATTTCGGAATCTGTTTAAAATTAATAGTCTGAAGCTTGAATTTCGTCTATACTTTACCCCAGGGTAGAATAATTTTGAAAACATGAAAGTTGTTCGTTAGAAAGAATTTACGGTTAGAATGTTACACTTAAAGAATGTACGGCTAAAGTTATTATTGAACTTCAATTATTGCTTATTGAACTGTAAACATTGATTAAAATTGAACACACCTTAAGCGGCCTGAAGAGTTTCTCGTAGAAATCTGCGAGTTCAGGCGAGATTCTCGCCGGCCACAAGACGTACGCTAGCCTGCAGACGTGCACGACGTTGACCGTGGCAAGGACGACGTACCACAGCAGTACGTCCATAGCGCACAACCGCACGCACGCCCACGCACAGAACAGGAGCATAGCGCACGTTAGGCTGCCGCGCATCAATACGCCCGATGCCCGGAAGTTGTGTGGTAACAGGAACGCCACAAGGCACAGCAGATTGCCTATCTATGAGAAAGTTACAGTTAAAAGAGGGAAAAATAGTGCAACAACGGGGAATTTTCAGATTTTCAGGGTATTGCATTTTTATTGTTGATCTAGGGTGTGTGTGTTTATTGAAAATTATGGTAGTGCCTACTTGTGAAAAAGTAATTGGGTTATTGTTGGCTCTTATATAAGCCCACGTTGGCCGTTGATTAGCTAGATTTATGCGGTGCTGATTGAGTTCCGTGTCCTAGCAAATGCCTCCACAGGTTCAAGGCTTTCGTCACACAATTGTGACGAAAGATAGCATAGATAGATAGATTGACACCAAGCACACATGCAATCATTCCTCCACGTACGTGTTGAAACGCACTCGGAAATACTTCTCCCCATGTGTTTGACTCACTAAAACACTCGTCACCTTATGTTTTGCTTTCCAACATAACCAATAAAATTGAATAATTCGTCACAAAACATGTTATGCAGTTATGTGATGCAGTTATGTCCGAATTGACAGAAATACATCAGCTAGAATGGTTGTGTTATTGGCTGAATCGTGGTTTTAAACTAAAAACTTCTTGAAATGATAATTTAATGATCCCATACAACTGAATTAATGATCCCAATAATGATCCAAATAATGCGAATGTGCAGCGAAATTTTTGTCTTTTCTTCTATTGTTTGCGGAGGCTTCATTGATTGTCGACTATTAATTGTACACAATTTCTGAAGCCTGATGTTTTGTCAAATAAATTCAAATGATTTACATCAACTGATTAATTAGAACACAAATTCTTGCCGGTATAAAGTGGCCATAATTAAATGATACCAGGACAAAAAACTCTTTAAACTGAACCGTTCTGCTCTGTTTCTCGTTTACATTACAACGATTTAATTTGCAAGACAGCGAACACCAAACCAGTCACCATTACATAATAATTAGAGCAGTATTTTTTGTGAATGCATAGGTTATTTTGAGGAAGATTTAGAATGCAGGTCGTGTAGTTCAAGGAGACGAGGTATCTTTCTACGCGCGCAAATTGGCGTATAAAGATAACTTTATAAGCGCATCAAGATTAACAGGACTGCTATATGAAGTCATGCGTCGTACGAGTTGATGTTAAAGAAAGGAAATTTAAGTTTGCAAACATTCAAACACGAAATTAGCAATGGTGTTTGTAGCATAAATTAGGAGATCCTTTAATATTTTTTACATGATTATTGAGAAGAAGTCTCAGGAATCCATTTGTTCTCAGGATTAAATTCCTTCATTTTCTATATTTAATTATATATGCATATTTAATTCTATTAGTTAATTTATATGTTATTCATAATAAAATAGAATATCGAAACCAATCTCTCATATGTGCAAAGATCCAATAGCCTATTTTTTCTGAAGATGAAATATGTATTCTTAGAGTACAGATGCATGTTTAAAAACCTAGCCATGAATATCATTGTAATTTAATAAATTATGCTGTTCTCTTGGCAATGGTTTGACACAAACGAATATGATTTCCTGTGCGATCCAAAGTATTGTACGTGAAATGCAAACTTCGATATTGATTACGAAGAGAATTTGTTATATATGAATGCAAAGCTAATTTAGTAGCGGTTTGTTGATTTACTCCTTTAATAATATTATCGCCACAATAAATGAATGTACATTGATATATAATCACGAATAAAATATTTTCTTTATGCAGTGAGAATCCACTTGTAATTCTATGAGAATAATATTTGGGTATACAATGGAATAAGATGAAAATCGCATTACAAATATGAGGATGCGTGTGTCTGCTACGTAAGTGAAGATAATTCAAACCGCGTTCTGCTCAAATTTCTTGCCTTTGATCCTTGACCTTCACAAATAATTGGCTTTAAAGCGATGCGAGCTTCTGAGTCAAGTCCATTGTAAAAATGTAAGAAGGGGTACCGGTGGCCATTGCTTTGCATAAAATAATGAAACCTTGTGTTCTATTATTATAAATCACGAAAAATGTAAACATACATGATATCATGTTCGACAAATTCTCATTTTAACGTTACATTCAGATTCTAGTTCCCAATCGTTCTATAATTTTTTCCTAATTGTCTAAAAATTTATCTATGCTCTATATCCTAACCATAATATTCAAGCTGAAAATCCCGCTCGATTAAAAAAATTTTACCGAGGCAAAGCAAGATTCCATACGGTTTTCAATATTTTCCATTTGGGTTAATCGTAAAAAGTTATAATTTGTGTTTTAAATCTTGTCTGTACTTCCACAACTCTAATGACGATCCCTAATTGGGATTCCGTCATTACCATGAATATATTTATTCTCAAGTTTTGTTCAGAAATAAAAGGGTTTCTAATGAATGGATTTGACCTGAGGTAATTATGCATGTGCTAAAAACTGTAACGTTAACACCAGCACAGAATGTCAGCACAGCAACGTCAGGGTTGGTTGCGGTCACGTTAGCAGTTACGACGATAGCGTCACGTCATGACGAAGCGATGTAACGTAGATGATAAATAGCCAATTACCTTCCATCCTTCCAAAATTTATTGGGTGCCAGCAACTTAGCTCGGTCTTCACCGCGAAAGATAACCCTTGAGTTTAAGATTAACCTTAAACTGCTGTATATAACTTTAATAATGACTTATATTTAATAATATAACTTTAATAATGATTACCATAGGAGGTGTGTTTACAAACGGTTACGTCATGCCTGCATCAATAAAGAATTGATGTTTTTCGGATACGGAAGAAAAGTCTCTGACATTGACTAGATTTTGCCGGAAAAAAGCTACGTGGAATCGTTGACAAGAAATCGGAAGTCATTAGCTGCTAAATATTTTCCATGCAAAGTTTGAAGTCGCAAAGTCTCAGACTGGCGGTCTGAGACACAGAACCTGCCGGTCTCGTGGATGATGACGGTGAGTCACGAGCCTTACAGTCAAGGGTCTAGAGCTCGTGGCAGGGTCTGCATGCCATGGGACCATCAGGGTCTGGATTATCGATGCGTGACCGCTGCCCTCATTGACCCTCGACTCAGCGCGCCCGTGCACTAGCAGGTAAAAACAAAAGCAAGCAAACGCGCTACCATTTTACCTTATAAATGTTTTCACGACGGTCTGAAGAATCCTTAGTTAAAAAATTTGCTATATGAGAGTGATTAATTCTGTGAGACCTAGTATCCAACGAGCTTCCATTTAATTGAAATTCCAATTTAATTGCAATTTTAATTGCAATTGCAGTAATTTCCATTTAATTGCAATTATAAAAAGAAATTACAATAATTATATGCAGTAACTTGAACTTCAGTTGATTCACGTGTTCAGAATGAGAAGTTCAACGTCTTGGAATGCGTAATTTTTTAGATTTTTCCTGCAGTTTATCTAAATAATTTCTGTTTGGCCGACTCAACTTAAATTTATGCAACAATACAAGCCAAGGACAACAACGTTGCTTTCAGTTTTGCAATAGGTTCCCTTGCCTGTAAATTTCCTATACCTTAAAATTTCCTATGCCATCAATGGATTAGTCAGTAAACTCGAGCCGAAAACGTTGAAATTAAAGTATAACATATTTTTGAAAATCTTCTTTTTGAGGATCTAAGCAAATGTAAAGAAAATGCTAAATCATTTTAACTGTCGAGAGAGTAAATCTTCAAAAGAATCAAAGCATAAGTTCCCGACAACGTTGATAATTGGTTACACGAGTATTGTGAATCTCATTGGTGATTGAGACGCCCGCATTTTTTCGATATACGTATCATTGTTTTTACGTTTTCTTTCTATAAAATTTTTACTACATTTTGACTCGTATAAACCGTTTTCTTCAATTAAGCCGCGCATAATATTGCTGCAATAAATATTCTGTTAATTAAAAAAAATTTCGGCACTTCTTCGAAAAATTTCACAATTATTTCGCCACTCTTTAATGGGTTTTCAAACATATTTTTTAATCATTTATAATTTAAGAGAAATGCTCATTGGTCGGTTTGAGTATCTCACTTGCCGAGCTCATGATTTTGGCTCCTCAAGACAGTGTCCCAGTTCGAAATTCTCGCAGTCATTGCGGCCGTTCGCCGCAGAGACGTTCGCAAACGCGCAAATCTAGGCCATTGTTGCCGACTTTACCTCGCGTCCAAGCAGTCTAGCGACGATATGGCCTCATCTGCCGCGAACAGCGCGATGCCTCGGTCGGCAAAAGCTGCGGCAGGCAACTGGCCGCACCTCTGCCGCGGCCTACGTCGAATATGCCGGCGGTAACGTTCAAGCGTTGAGTTGGCAGGGAGAGGAAGGGGGTGAAGGGTGAGGGAGGCGGAGGAATATCAAAAGAACCTTCTAGACATGAATCTTAATATGGGGCTTATGCCGGAAGAAACTGATTGAATTATTCACTTATTTATTTCTCTAAAATTATGAGGTTTACATGATTTTTTATTTGCTACATATTTTTTATTTTCGACAGTTCTATTCTATTCTATACTACAGCGAATCCATGTCGCCAGTATTTGTGGAACTAGTTCCATCCAGTATTGTGTGTATTCAGTTTATTGACATAAATTCGATTAAAAACGCGAAATCAGTGGATAATCTGAAAGTAAATATCAAAATAAATTTACAAAATAATAGAAAGACTGACTGCGGCAGCAGGCCCTTTCCAGGCCGAGAAGCGCTGCCACAATATTGCGCTGCTGTGGACATTCCTGCGCTGTTGATCTCCCTGGCGTTGCGCTGGGGCGAGCGTTGGCGCAGGCAAGTTCACCCGCGGCTGGCTTCCAGACTGCGGCGATTTCTGACTGGGGTAGGTGTTGAGAAAATGTCACCCCTTGCTTATATACGCGTACTGCACCCGCCATGCCACTCACGGTATTATCCTGCTGGCCTCAGGGCTTACGCGTATCAACGGCGCTGTAATGCGGGAAATTAACACGAAAATGACAACTTTCTTGCCTCAAAGTGAAGGTCATTTGAGAGCAATCGTCGGATCTCATGACGTTGTGGTCCTGCTAAACCCATAAATAACGGCTCTCCGAATAGGTCTTCAGAGAATCAAAGTCCTTTTAAAACCTAGACCCCGTAAATCAACCTGATGATTCACATGTCGAGTCTCTATGCATCGGAAATTTGTCGATAAAATTCTCGGAATCAACAATAATTAAACTAGTTTGTCACTGGCATAGAGTGTATAAACTGTGGACAAGCATTGGTGAAAACGAGAATGTGTGACAAATACTGAAGTCATTTCACAGGCTGAAATTGTAAACTGGGAAGGTTGTTGGTTGTTGTACGGGTGAGACTACGAATGTTGTTGGCCGTGGTTTAAACGAGAAGTTGCGAAACTGAGTTTTAGGTTTTAGGATTTCATTAATGCTTATGACGTTTTGGCCGAGTTGTGCATTCAATCAAGATTTTCATTAATATTTAATTTGGTAAATATTGCGGTTAAACATTTCACCATATTGCTTGAATTCGAACAGATTATACAGTAAAAAGCCAGAATAAGGGCGTTATATCTGATTGCATGATTATTTTATCGTTCTGCAAGCAAACCTCGCTTGTGAAATGATAGGTAACACACCATGGAAACGGACAGAAAGCATCCCAAACAACCTTTGTTTGAAAAGGCATTCTGAGCGCTGATTTTACCCCAACCTCATGTTATTTTTTAAGGGGATTGTTTTAATTTATGAATAAATGCATGAAAAATTAAATACCATCCTAAGTTATTCCAGAGGCTAATTTTGTAAAAAATTTACTGATTTTGCTTAATAGTAATGAAAAAACGCACCCTGACGATATGACATATGTTCAAGTTTGTGTGAATGCTCATGAAAAAAGAGGCATAATTGGAGTTAATTAATGAAATATCTAAAGCACATTACTATTATAAATATTAATTCCTGAAATCATAAGGATTTTAAAGAAAAAAGAGTCCCTGCAACGAGTGCGCAGAGAGCGGCTACATATGCGGCACGAGGGCCTATTAATAGTGTAGGGTTTTGGGGGCTCGAAGGGCGCGTTCACGGAGTTTATTCTAAAAAATCGACCATATTTCGATTAATTAAAGTCAGAAAATTTTATGATTGAAGATTAAGTTGTTTATTATTAATATCTGAACGCAACTTTAAATTAATCAATTTGATTGGTATCCGCCGTGCATTGTCTTTCCCGCACGCACGAATTAGTGACTGAGCAGATCGAGAACGTTGATACAGCTGAATTTTTCAACGTGGGCTTCATGAATAATTATGTTTCTATTTAACAATGAAACATTCTAGCACAGTCAGCAGTTACGAAGTTTTTGTTATTATCCTTGCATAATAGAACTCCTCATGTAAAGAGGGAGACTTGGGAAAATGTTGGAAAAAATAGCTTTTTCCAACGGGGCTCGTTTCACACAAATTTTCCTTTATTGCAGATCGCAATTGAGTTATGCTGTCCTAAAGTGGCCTTTTAAAATGAACCATGTATCGGTTCAATGATTCACCCCTTGAATTAGCAGCAGCAATCACATGAGCTTATCTTTATCTACAACCTGACCGCATTATCGAGACGAAATTAGAACTGCAGGAACATGTTCTTATGTTGTTAAATCGATTTAATATCCACAGTTTATCATCCAGATGCACAAAATTGAACTTTAAAACATCTTTTTACAGAGCGGAATTTGTCTTCGAAAACAAAGACTTGGCTAGATATTCACTTCTTTGTCAGAGCAAAGCACATGCGTAACTAAACTGGGAAAAAGTTTGACGCGTATTTTCTGCTCATACATGTACGCTAAATTTTATAAATAAATGATAAACATAAGGTGAAAACAAATTACTTCTAAAAGGATAGCTTAAAGTTGGGAGCACTATTATTAAAAGAGTGCTAATATATAGTTAATGGTAAGGACCTTCATAGGCATGTTTTGTTATAAATATACATTTTGTTGTGTAGAATATATTGAATCATCGGAATGACAAGCACAATCAGATTATTGATCGAAATTAACTATACGATTAATGAAATTTTAAATTTATTAATTAGAAAAGTTTATCCATCTCTGGCATAGTGCATGACGAATTCAAATTATTTTCCTTAATACAGTCTTATCCATGGGCTAAAAAACCTATCAGTTATGTGCAGAATAAACATTAAAAATAGTTCCAGAAAACATTATTCGTAGATTATCATTGTAAATAAAATATAATTATTGCATCACATTGAAGACATTTGAAAAAACGCTTTTCATCAAAGTAAACCTAGTACATAAAACAAGAAGCAACTTGAAACCACATGTGATTCGCCCATGTTTCTGCATTCATCATAATTAGTTAGCCTGCATTTAGAGGAACATTTGGTAGCGTGCATTTAGAGGAACACTTGGTAGCGTGCATTTGGAGGAACATTTGGTAGCGTGCATTTAGAGGAGAAGTTAGCATGACGAAGTTAAAAAAGCGTGCACTTAGCGCGACGATGAAGGGAGAGTCGCACGTCACGCTACCTCTCCATGACACGAAATTCGTGACGAGGAAAGCATTGTGCGCTCACGCTGTCAACAGCGCACTTGTTGCCATCTCAGTCACACGATACTAAGCATTACTTGAACATAGAGAATTTTACTATTCCATCCACTTTGCTGATGGATCGTAATGAATGAAAAAGTGAATTCCGTGCACGCGTTTTAGCTTCACTATGCCTGTCTGCTGGCCGCGATATGTAACTCCGTAAACGACAGGTGTGAGACACGAATTAAGTGATGTTCGCAATACTTTTAAATGATTTTTAAAGTCAGCTAAATTTTTAACTTCGCTGTACGACTACCGCATTGAAAATCACGATACTATTTTTCACTCTAATGTGTGCGTTGTATTAGCATTTATACTATAGTTTATTGAGTGAATTGAAACTAAAGAAATATGTGCTTATAATTTTTTTAATATAATCTTTACATTATATATAATATCAATATCAATGTCAATATTTATATCAATATTTAAAATAACAAAATATTTATAGTATATATTTAGCACTTCGAGTGTTATCAGGCAATTAGCATTACCATATAAACCTATTTGTTGTGATAATGTCCTAAATCTAACAAAATGTATTAATATTGTACTATTGTATTAGTATAAAGTATTTGGCGGAAAATAAAGTTTTAGCAGTACACCGACCTGTCGAGAATATTTTAAGTTATGCATAATAATTAAAAAATATGAGAATTGTTAAACTCAAGTATGCTATTCAACATGAATAATATTTTACATGTACTTTTACCCACCTGATAAAAGGTATTCTGTCCTCCTGTCCATTCGACGCAGCTCGGTATATCCAGGGCGGACTCATTTTGTGACGTCGTATTGTCACTGACATCGTCCACAACACCAAATTGTTTCGGGGTTTCTTCCGTGGCATTGACTTGGGACTTTGGTTTTTTGGCGGACACTCGCATGGAAGCGTTCGAAGATCTAAGTGAGTATCGAGGAAATGCTTTGATGTCCGTCACTTGCTTCTTGTTCACGTTATTTAATAGGGAACGTTTTTTCCTTCCCATTGGTGGCTCACTGACTAACATTTGAAGGCTATTCCGTGCATATGAAAATGTAGGAGCTCTAACTAAATATTTGCCAGGCTTTGACTTATATGTCAATAAGTCGAGATATGAAGAATTTCTTAATAATGAGGTTGAATTAGTATTAGCAGTGAAAATTCCTAGAGGATTGGAACGAGGTAAAACGGTATGTGATGCGGAGGATTGTGATGACTCGTCTAAAGGCCCGACAAAACTTTCATCATTATCAGTATAATCAAATAGTGAAATATTATGATTTATATGTGTTATATGGCTTTGATATTGGATAGGAGAAAAGTTTGCGTTTGAATGTGAGCTTAAAACATTTTCTCTGAGATTGGATAACTTTTTTAGGTCCAAACTCATTCTTTTCACTTCTTGCTTTTTAATGTAGTTCGATCGCTTCAGGGATCTAACAATCATTTTTTTAACACGCCTCTTTTTCAATACTACTTCCTCATCAAGATAATTTTCCCACCCGGCGTCTGCGATGAGGAAAGAATCTCCTGTTTCTTTTTGTGACGCATCTTTGATGAGGTCCAAATATGCTTCGTCTCCGGTGCCTTTTAAGGCATAAATCTTCGAGGGTCCATATCTTCTTATAACCTGTGCATTTTGTCGGGGTCGTGAAGTGCCGACCGGCGAGGGCAACGAGTACTGGACTGAATATATTGGCAGCAATAGTGCGATCAGGACGAGAACTCGACACACGAAAAGTATTTGTGTTGAGAAACATGTTTGATGGCACACACAACTGAGCATTGTATGTTTGAAGGCACACACAACTGAGCATTGCTATCTTCACCAAGTGACCATCATTGGGACTCTGATCTTCTGTATTCTCAACTCAATACCTGCGAAATATCTTGTCATTACAAAACATATTTTGTATTATTACAGATTGAGTCTGTCACAAAGTTTATTTTCTTAATTATTCTCATTTTGGGTTTTATTTGATATTTTGCAGATATCATCGCCAGTCGTAAGCATATAGCTTGTGAGTCCAGCATTCGAATTTTTGGTATCTTTGTGGTTGGAATTTTATGCTTTTCATAAGCTCGCTAAGCTTTCAAATTGTACTCCGTTCGATTAATGTTGTGTTATGGGTTGTGATGTAGAGCTGAATCATACATTGAGCACGTAAACCACCACCTTATATAAGTAAAATACACATCACTTCACATGCTGCTGATGAGTTTTCATATCAGGAAACATTCATTTTATGGTTAGTTGAAAACGTCGAGAAAATTGAATCAAAATAATGCATTTCGCTAATTTTGAAACAATCGTTTTGTTTATATCTAAATCGTTACCTTCTTATGTTATCACTTTTATTTTCATCACTTTATTCTAGAATAAACTTCACGCATGAAAAGTAAAAGTCGCATTCAAAAAGAAATATTTGAGTTTCCATAATTAAAAATTCACACGTCTCGTCGAAAGTAATAGAAGTCGTTGAGACGATGAGTAGTTGATAATTAGTAATACAGTTTTCAAGTCACTTATAAAGGCACTATAGTATAAAGCCAGTATTTGAAGTTTCTAAGCTTATTTTAACTCAATAGTCTTTCTGAAAGCAAAATTACGATTGTTATTTAGAACACTCGTGCGTAACTGTGACATGAATATGTTATTGCAGCCAAGATATTCTAGTCTTGGCTGCAGATATCATATGTGTTATATGGTTCGATTCGATTCTAGGCACAAATTCCCGTCTCTTTATACTTAAATACATTGTTCGCAAACAAATCTGGTAAGAACTGCATTAAATTCAGAAACTATTTGTTCGAATATTCTTACGTACGCACTTTTTTACTCATAAAACTCGAAAATTTCAGATTAAAAAAATCGAGTACAAATGACAAAATCGATAGATTTTTCACGAAAACTTTCCTCAATTCAAATTCATGGAAAAATGATTATTTAATAGTTAGATACAATAAATTTTAATTAAATAGGACTAGAGTTTAGTGCAGGCAGTGTGGCTGGGCCAGCCAAGGCGTATATAGGACTCGGCTTGAGTGCAGGCATGTGGCTGGGCCAGCCAAGGCGTATATAGGACTAGGCTTGAGTGCAGGCAGTGTGGCTGGGTCAGTCAGGGCGTGTACGGGACTAGGCTTAAGTGCAGGCAGTGTGGCTGGGACAGCCAGGGCGTGTACGGGACTAGGCTTGAGTGCAGGCAGTATGGCTGGGACAGCCAGGGCGTGTACGGGACTAGGCTTGAGTGCAATGTGGCTGGGCCAGCCAGGGCGTGTACAGGACTAGGCTTGAGTGCAGGCAGTGTGGCTGGGCCAGCCAGGGCGTGTCTGGGTTTGAGGGCAGAGGCTTCATTTGCTGGATGACAGAATTGCGACCGACGCCGTTACTCTTGCGCTGTGCTTGCTGCTCCTGCCTTTCGCATTCCTTATAATAGTTCTTTGATATATCTGAGTACAAATGGATTTCGATTATTCAATTCATTTCGATTATTACCGTTCCATTTGAGATAGGTCAGTTCCATGAGATTGGCTGCCCAAATCTCATAATTTTATTTACAAATTTTCATGCTCTAACTTGATATTATGCATCGATTATATTATATAGCAGACAAATCATAGCTGATCGAAGCTCAAACAGAAGCTTCTAATTTTTATTGAGACAATTTTAGTGCAGAATGAGAAGCACAGTAAGATTTCTGCTGCGAGCTGTGCACAGTTGATGCAATATTAATTTTGTCCATAAACAGAATGACTTTATTTGAATTTCTCTTTGTTTTCTGTAAGTTTCTATTGTACGGCATATCCAAGCATATAACTGCCCCATTTTTTTTTGTTCTGGCTGAACCAACATAGCAGCCACGTTCTTTGCTCATGCCGCCAGTTTTATGCCCCATTCAAGGCGCGTTCATTATGTCAAGACGGAACCGGATGCGTGCTTCTTTGTTTCACCGCAAGAATATCGCTGTTCTGTATCTAAAATATGTACGTATTTTATTGATAATTTATTTCTAGTTCACCCTTACTTCATGACTGTTCACTGATATTCATGAAGATTATGATCTGATAAAGATTATTTTATAAAACTATGAATAATTAAATGAAATTCAATTAGAGATGACTTTCGATAGCTTATCTGACAGGAAGAAAAATTATATTTCTTTCTCATTTATCAAATCACATTTAAAAAATGTCCTTACTATTAAAAGTGCTATAATAAAATGGCGAATAAAAAATTTAGGTATGCAATTTCAAAGCATTTCTGAAGTCCGTTGAAATTTGAATTCTGCGAAATCAAAGTACTATTTTTAGTTAAAGTATATTCAATGAAGTTCCCGGGCTATGGGAGACATACAGTATATAATATATGAGATTGGTCAGTATTATGTGACTTGACGCTCAAGCTGTAACAACTCATTTGTTGATGTTTAAATTACAACTTTGTGTTTAATTATTCCATGTTTGCATTTCTTCACGGTCCTCTAAGAGATAAAGTGCTAACTCAGCTCGATAAAATTATATATTTTTGCCCTGGTTCCGAAACTTAACTTTGAAGAATTGTTGGTCTCGAGTGGGTCGCGTACACAAGTAATCTTAAGATCATCAACTCCTCGAAGCTTACCAAAAGTCTACGTCGTTAATGTTCATTAAAACTCACTTTGTGAAAAAATAAAGACAAATTCATTACAAACGACGTGTTTTGATCCGTTGGTTCTAAAGATTCTGTCAAATTGAAATTTTTGTATCACAAATTCCCGTCTTTTGAGGCTGTTTCTAAAATTTACTTCGAAGGGCCAGGGAGAACATCGTGAGCCTGGAAAATTGGTAACAAATTGCTTACTCGACCACCGCAGTGAAAAATGTACTGTTCCATAATTTATCCTTCACATTTTGATACTTTTGCGAAACACTTAATTAAGATTTCCAGGTTAATTTGGGGCTAAGGCGTGAAAAACATATGTACATCATTAGTCTCTTGATGGTATCATTATAAAATATGTTACAGTAGATATTTCCCCAAATAATTGTTAGGATCGGTTGTCCAAAAATTTGAAAATTTTGGCGAACTATCGAATTCTCAATTATATTGCGGCAATTTGTGGTCTTGAAAAGCAAATTTAAGCGGTGTGAAGAAAAAGTTAATTTTAAAAATGTTATGATGTATTATCAATAGTTCGATGCCTGTGAGCACGAATATCAGACTATTTTAGACGCATTAGAGCAGAAAACAAACAAACATTTGAAGCCACTGAAGGAGGAAATCTCATACAATTCAGTCCATTGATGACACGGAGTCTGTGCGGCGCGCGTTTGACGGCAGTCTTGGCACCGTCGTAAAAGCCACAGAAGACAGACGATGGGCAGCACGATGTTTCTATTGCAGACGATGGGCCGCACGATGTTTCTATTGCAGACGATGGGCCGCACGATGTGTTTTTTTTTGCAGACGATGGGCCGCACGATGTGTCTATTGACGATGGGCCGCACGATGTGTCTATTGCAGACGATGGGCCGCACGATGTGTCTATTGCAGACGATGGGCCGCACGATGTGTCTATTGCAGACGATGGGCCGCGCGGCGTCTCCATCTGCAGACGCCTGCAGATGGAGTCCTGCACGATTTTTTATGACAGACTATGATTGATTTACAGACTATGATTGATTCGATTTTCTATGGCAGATGATTCGCTGCTGTAAATATGTCTGGCAGACAACACGATGCTCTAACGACAGGCGGTTTACAGCACAATGCACGTCTGGCAGACGGTTTGCAGTGCGATGCACGTCTGCAAATGGAAGAGATTTTCTCCCTGTAATAGTGTTGCTCAGACACAAGCTTCCTATTCTTCATAAAAATCTCAAGGCAGTTCGAGGAAAGCATTCATACGACGACCAACTGACTGGCCCTGCCGACTGCACACATTAGGAACTGCTTTTATTACAATAATGTCGGGGCAGCTGAAACAATAAAAAAATATAACTCAGTACTCACTGCAGTGAGTGATAGAGAGCGCATTTTCTCGTAGACGAAAACGTGAAGTCACGGACGGACAGACAGACAGACGGATGGACGGACGAACGGACATGGCGAGCACAACAGTGCATTTTTTCCATAAATGAGAAAATGCGCTAAAAATAGTATCAAGGGTCATTGGAAGGAGAAAATTCTATAATGTTTCACTTGAAATAATTAATACGACTAAGAACAATGAGCTTGTCAGTCTATCTCACCTTAATAAATGGGTCCAATTTTATTTCAGTTTATTGAAGTTATTAATTCTAGAATTTTCAGTTGAATGATAATTTCAGCTATTATGTCGTTTCACTTGGGTCAGCAATTATTTCCGGCTGATTCCTGACGGTACGAGGTTTTTTTCACCTCGAATTAATGCAGAAAAGTTCCAGCTATGCTCTAAAAAATATACAAGCAATTGCCGTCGTGTAATTTAAAATAGAATTAGCCTCCAATTTACAGCACGCAGATCATGAATGTCAAGCTTCAGGTAGAGGGTACGAGAAAGAAATTTAACAAGAATTAGAAATATTGGAACAAGACTCAGCACTTTATGTTCGTTATATGTATTGAGATTTGATTTTATGAAATATTTGCTTCTAATATTACATATAGAATACAATTCGCATTTTTTCACAGACTTCAAGCACGCTGATGATAAATAGGCAGAAGCTAACGTCTACTGTGGTCGCGGCTAAAGTTGGTTTGTAAACCAGATAAATATTAACGCACATAAATGACCTTTATTATTCTGAACTAAAATTACCTAAAACACGAAAGATTCATCCCATGTTTGCGCGCGGGTGCTGTGGTGCGTGCGTATCACAGGCGCACCTGTACGCATTCTTGGCTCGTAAGC